TTAAACTGCCATTTTATATTTTACAAAGAACTCTCTCATACATTCCCATTTGGTAATATACTTCTCATAGAACCAAAGGATTTTCACCATAATAACCTCTGTAGCTGGCTGTATTCTCCTTTTTAATTATGAGCAAACTCAGGCTCCAAGTGTCTTAAGTCTTATGCAGAGAGGAGTTAACTCTCTCTCTCTCTGAGAAGCATTACCCAGAGAAGCATTATCTTTCAACTGTGGTAACACTTAACATTTTACAGTACACTGAAAAAGCAAATGGCCATGACCAGGTGGTGCAGTTGGTTGGAGCGTTGTCCCGTACACCAAAAGGCTGTGGGCTCTATCCCCAGTCAGGGCACATACCTAAGCTGCAGGTTTGATCCGGTTGGGGAGCATATGGGAGGCAACTGATCGATGTTTCTTTCTTCATAATTGATGTTTCTTCCTCTCTCTCTCCCTCCATCCCTCTCATCAATAAACATATCCTTGGGTGAGGATTTTTTTTAAAAAAAATAAACACACTGCCTAAGCTGTTAATGCACATCCAAGACACAGCTTTATTCATCTGGAAAGATCTAGCATCAAGTGTTCCTATAAATAACTTCATTATCTGTAATAGAAATTCATCTATCACCATTCTAATTAGAATGTGGCTAAGGAAGACAGTATTTAACAAGGCGTTTGTAACATTTGGTGGTTATAATAATGGCTTTGAAGTTCCAGGAAAAAGTTTCTTCTCATTTACGTATCTCTTACTCTCCATTATTCTCAGTTGCTAGATAAAATTACTGGTATTATTCCTTAAACTGTTTTTTTGAAATACGAATGGTGATAGACATTCAAAGAAACTTTAGAAACACAGAACAGCACAAAGAAGAAAAAAATCATATGCTCTTTTGTCAGGGAGAGGACATCAGTGCTCCCATTTGGGTATACATCCTCCCAGGCATTTTCTGTGCAGATAAGCATTTTTGCCAATTAGTATCATAAAGTACATTTTCTCTAGTTTTGCATGTAATATATCAGGATTTCCCATATCAGGTGGTTATTCTCTAATGTTGGTGGTTGCGTAGTATTCTACGTTATATATGTATCAAAATTAATTTATAGTTTTCCTACTTTGCTGAATGTTTACTGTTTAAACTTTTTGTTTTTTATGAGCAACGCGGAGCAAAACATCCTTCTATATTAATTCCTACAGACTTCTTTTTTAGGAAAAATTCCCAGAAGTGGATTTGCTAGGTCAAAATATTTGGAAAAAACTTAAGAATGTCTTTATCAATTGGTTGTTGGTAAATTACACTGAATTGAAATGTGCATTTCTTTGTCATTCCTAGTCTTTAGGGATCATTTAGAGTTTAGTATTATTCAAGGAGAATGAGTAAGCCTGAAATTCAGCCAAAAAATATTCTGGCACCTCCACATTGCACGGAGTACTCTAAAAATGCATTATTATCTTGGCTGATAAGATTTTCTTAAGCTTGCAATACAAGAACCTGGCCAATCTCTTAAAAGATAACAGTTATCACAAAGAAACATGAGAAGCTATTTTGTATGTGTGTGTATATGTGTGTGTGTGTGGGTGTGTGTGTCTTAGTAACCACACTCAAGAGGGAGTGTTACTGCCTTCTGTCACTCATCTTCAGAGCCAAACAGCTCTGATAAGAAACTACTTGTCAAAATGAAATGTCATTTCTGAGAAACAATTTTACATGTACCAACAGCCATCCACAAAAATGTACTTAAAGAAAAATAAGGGAATAATCCAACTGTACTTAATGAGTCAAATACCCATTAAAACACAAGGCCACCTCTTTGGCAATCCACGGCCATAATTTTTTCTTTTTTTAAATCCTCAGCAGAGGACACACTTATTGATTTTAGAGAGAAGGTAAGGGGGTGGGGGTGGAGATAGAGAGGTAGAGAAACATCGATGTAAGAGAGAAAGATCAGTTGCTTGCCTCTCGTACATGAATGAACTGGCAACTCAGGCATGTGCCCTGACCAGGAATCAAACCAGCAACCTTTAGTTTATGAGGCCATATTCCAACCAACCGAGCCACACTGGCCAGGGCTCAGTCTGGTACTTCTTACATGGTTAATTTACTGTAGTAAAAAAGGTAAAAAATCATTTACTTATTTTTTTAGTAAGTGAAGCCATTTCATTTTTTTGATTTTATTTATTGACTTTGAGCGGGGTGGGGAGAAACACTGACATTCCTTGGTTGATTCTTGTGTGCGCCCTGGCTGGAGATGGATGGGATCTGAAACCTTGGTGTTTTGGGACAACACTCTAACCAACTGAGCTACCCGGCCTGGGCTGGTGAAAAAGCATTTGGGTGGGTGTAGGGAGGTATGTATGCAATTTTGTGTGAAAGCAATTTTGAATCCATGTTCTAGACTCCATGTTGATATTTAAAAGCAGCTAGGGTTGATGTTGCCTTAAATTGCATAATAGATGTGCTAGAAAATTGACATAATGAAGGAAATGGATTAGAGCCATTGTTTAAAAAAGTGGGCTTAGCAGTCCTACAAGGTGCATGACCTCACTGTACCCAACAAGGAGGCTCTGGGAAATTTCAAAGGAACGTAGAGCAGGAGGGGATGGAACATTCTTCTGGGAGAGTAAAATTGCATGACATTCCCATGTTATGTGTTGTCCTCATTTCTCTTGCTGAGGTAGTGGGTGTCTCAGAATCACTGCAGCTCCATCCATTAATCCCAATGCTATAGAAGGAGCAGGATATGTCCACCTGGGCTAAGCTCCAAGCTCCATTGAGCTCCACTGCATGGAAAGCAGGCAGCATTTTACCTGAATAAAGGCTATTACCTGAACTTGCAATTCATTCTATGATTCCAGAGAAAATATGTAGATTTTTAAAGGCTTGGCAACGCCTAATAATTTTCAGATCCCCATGTGGTTAGTAGAAACTGTAGGCTACAAGTAGGCTGCACCATATGCCTTCAGGTTTGTAATTTGCTTTTCTGTTCATTGACAGACCCCTAAGTTCATGTTTTCTTATGACCCTGAGCCTGAATCTTAGAGCAAATTCAGAAGCAAGCATTTCTTTATTGTGAGACAAATAGCTAAATGAAGTGGAATTCTTCAGTTTCTTCAAGTGTAATATCTAGGCTCTATTTCACACCTATTGCAATGTTACATTTTTCTGAATTAGTAATGGCTAAAAAATGTTCTGAGATTACCTAAGAGTTCAGCAGTAAGCATGAGCCAGTTTTATACGTTAGTGGAATTAAGCTTCAAAACCATTGAATTAGGGTATGTTAGATAGGCTTGACTAATCTTCAAATCTAAATTTTAAATTTGTTTTTTAAGATTTATTTTTAGAGAGGGGAAGGGAGGGAGAAAGAAATAGAAATATCCCTGTGCAGTTGCCTCTCAAGTGTCCCCCACTGGGGACCTGACCTGCAACCCAGGCATGTGCCCTGACTGGGAATCGAAATAGCAACCCTTTGGTTCACAGGCTGGCACTCAATCCACTGAGCCACACCAGCCAGGGTTAAATGTTCAATTTGTTAATGCAATGACCTGTGACTTGCTTGTAATTAACAGAATACGGAAAAGGTAATGGGAAGCTACTCCCTTGATTACATCATCTAAGACTGTTTTGCTGTGAGACACACTCTAGTCTCTCTCAATTGTTGGTTTTGAAGAAGCAACCTGTCAAGGGTCTTATGGCCATAAGAAAATAAATTCTGCAAATGGCTGGAATAAGCTTGGAAGTGGGTCCTTCCCCAGTTGAGACCCCAGTCCCAGTCTTACAGGGGACCCAGTGAAACCATGTCCAGACACGTGACCAGCAGAAATTGTGAATGAATAAACATTTGTTTTACGCTACCAATTTTGTAGTTATTTGTTATATAGCAATAAAAAGCAGCTTCAGACTTTGGCATTAGATGTGGGGCTCTGCTGTCACAAATGCACAAATATGTGGGTGTGGCTCTGGAACACCCACATGGCAGTGAGTGGAGGCTGGAAATTTTTGAAGAACCATTAATAGGGAAGGAAAAGAAAGCTGCAAATGTACAACTTCATTGACAGTGTGTAAGCATAAAAGTGAACTTATTATTGAGGACAGAAAAACATGAAAACACTAGTTTTGGTTTAAGACAGTGAACATGTCTACAATATGATGGACATAAGCTAAGCAAATCAGGTGCAGGCACCCTTGGGAGGCCACATACCATTTCCTGTCAGTAAAGTATTAATTTTTCTCAACACGTTTTTGCTTGGCTTCAAACACAATTTAAATGATGCTTCAGTTTCTAAAATGAATACTCAGTGTTAACAGTAAGAGCAAGCTGATAAGACCTTCAGAGATAAACGATAAGAATCTGACCACCTCGATAAGACCAAGATATGTGATAAAATCTAACACTTTTCTGAAAAAATTGGGGTTTTTTTTGTTTTTTGTTTTTTAACTTGGAGTTAAAAAAAAAAGTCAGAAAATTAGGTAAAGCATGACATGGTAGGAAATGCTGGCAAGTATGTTTAGGTGTTAGGTTGGCAGTTGGTAACAAACACTCTTATTCTCAGTCCCTGACATATGAAGACTTCAATGTGGATGAGGTGCAGGACAGGCTGCAGCGGCCTTCGTAGAATGAATGTATTGGGTAACCTGTTCAGCAATGGAGCCAACCTGACAGAGGTAGCCCTTTTGGTACATTAATAGCACCCAGAAACTCTGGTTAAATAACAGAGTTTCTTTTCTTATAAAAAAGTCAAAACTTTGAAAATGAGATTCTGAACTTTTTGAAAAAGACCTTCGGAGGCAACCGAACATTTATATACGTATTTTGTTTCCCATCTCCAATACCTGATATAGTCCATACACCATATCATCATAAATACACTTTTTGTCATGTACGAAGACAAGCTAACGCTACAATGTAGATGAATGACGGCTTTGATATCATGCAAATGTTAACTCTGGGCTAAACACACACGATACTGAAATTATTACACAGAGAATGCATTTACCATTTTTATTTCGCTATGCAGAAACATACATTCACCATGGGCTGTGTAATGCAGTAGACAGTGTAATGAAGAATATATCTTTCTGAAGGCTATTTATAACTAAACACTACATAGTTTAATTACAGTGGAAATTCTGTACAGTTTAAGGCTTGGCTCGGAACTATGTTGTAAATATGGACCATATTTGGAAATAAAACACTTTTTCAAGTAAAAGAAGAAAATCAATTTAAAAATATAAGAAAGAAGCAAAGAAAGAAAAAAAACTAACAAGAACTCAACAGATTTTTCTAGAGCGACATTTCATAATATTGTAAACTAATGAAAATACATATTTTCTTCCCAAATTAATCACAATTCACATATTTAGGACTTGATAGGAAACTTTGGGAAGCTTTCCGGATTGAACATGGACCAAAATGGACAACAAGGAAGAAATCACATTAATATGCTAAAATCAGTACTATCTTATAATTAAATTAGATATACAAAGCAAGATTGAAAGCATTAAATATTTCCAGAGGATCAGAGAGTCATCACTGTTTATGAGTTAAGAGTAGTAAAACCAGATGAAACAAGTACAAGATTCAAGTGTTTACTGAATAAACTCGGTTATTGGCACATCTAATCTGGGATAAACCTGATACACCGGACCTAGACAGCTTCTAGCGTTTTAGGGTAATCTTCATTTATCTGTAAACAAAAGATCTGTCACTTAAGAAATTGAAATTTTGTTTAGACTTTAATAATAATAAACTATAAAAGGCATGGATTGTTTATGTGTTACATGAAATCACGGTTTATATTGTTGGTTATGAACGTGCAGGTATAGCAGAAAACTTAGACACTTTGTGAAAATTAAAAATGCTGCTCTTTTGTAATTTTATCGTTGCTTCATGCAATATCAGTTTAGTGATGCTGATTCGGATTGCTTTATTATGGGAAGATCTCTCTGCCCCTGTCTTAATTAATGGTCAAGGTCTGCTCTTCTGGATTGAAAATTTCCGCAGGCAGATACAAGTCAGTTGGGTTAGAAGAGGGAACTCCATATAGGCTCTGGTTTTCCTAATGGTTTGCATGACTGGATTCCTGTGCAGGCTAAGTTATTCCTATAGAAAAGAGATTTAATCAGTTACTCATTCGAAAACATCTGAGACCAAGGTCACAAGGAAAGTACCTTGCAGGTTATTCAACACTCTTTTTGACAAGATGCTGTACGTCACTGATAGGCTTTGTAGAATAACTACAGCATCATCAAGTGGCAGAAGCTCACTGGAGAGAATCTTTTTTTGATTTCTATTTTCAAATTACATCATTAATTTTATTTTGAGTGATTTTTATGTTTTTCTTTAAGAGGGGCCTCTTGTCAGTCTATGTTTCTTAAACCAACGTTAGAGAACTAACTTCATTTACACAAGTAAAACATTTAAGAGACTAGCCAAGTGTGCAAGTAGCTCATCAGTTGCGTTCAGCATTCAAAGCCCTCTAGGGATGCTGCAGGCCCCAAGAATTCTTGCATGGCAGGTTAGTATGCATGACAAGTCTACTCTCACACAGAGGATGCTGTCTGTTCTCGATGGTGGCCGAACAGCAGCTGGAAAGGCATGCGCTTCCTGGGGGAAAGCGGGACCACAGCACTGCATTTTTCCTTCTCCTGGGACACAATGCTAACACTAAGGGAAAAAAATCAACCCAAAGAATACAGAAAATATAAGACATCTGAAATGAAAGTGAGTGCTCAGGTTTCAAATTTAAAAACAGAGCAGAACAGAAGCATAAACAGACTATAACCAAACACAATTGAAGAAAAAGCTTATAATGGGATAATGTTGCTATCAAAAGGAGACAGGAGCATATTTTATTTCATTAATATTTGGAACATACAAATTGCACCTTTCAGAACAAAAGCGCCTTAGTTCTGATTAGGTCAGGTGGCAAGTAAAATCAAAGCTGGTCTTGCAAAGTTGGTTAATGAAAAGAATAAAGGATATGGATTAAAAGGGAGCACCAGCAAGGCCACGCAAGCAAAGGCTCTGCTTTACCTTTATCCTCTAACTGGCAGTATATGCAAAAGATCGACAGGATGCAGCCTTCAAGTCTGACACAAATCAGCACCTGCCAAGCAATTCTCCCTCCTTTTGGTAACCAGCCCTGCAAATGCCAGTGAGGGAAAAAGGGAAAGGGAGGAGTCCTGGGTAAAGGATGAGAGGAAAGTGCCTCATGCCACATGCCAGCCGAGGCCAAGCCAAGAGAATCAGCATCACCTCTTACCTGGGGTCAGTCCTCTCCATCTTCCGGCGTGATCTCTGTCTCTTTATGGACCACTACTTTGGTCACTGACATGTCAGGGTGCTGCTCTTTGGCCTCTTTAATTGCCTGAGCCAGCGCCTATCCCCAGGAAATCACAGAAGGGCAAAGACAAAAAGGAGGAGGAACATGCATGATCAGCAGCAAGGTGGAGACTTATGAACTAGATCTATATACACAATTTACAAATAAGGTACAATGATTGCAAAAGGAATCGTACATTGTATATTGGAAAGTTAATTCAGAAAATGTTTAGATTACATGCCAGACTGTAAGAATATCATTGGGAATAGTAGGGTCAACAAGTGTTTCTCTGTCTCTCTAACAAGGTATTTACCATCTTACACACGTTACCTGGTCATGGTCAATATCCGCATCACCTGTGATGACTATTCGCTTCTCAATTCTTGTTTCTGAAATGCCTCCTTTTACAGTCTGAAAGGAAGAGACAAGTGTTATGAATTTGCCCCTTTGGAGCAACAATCACTGTTCAGTGGAGGAAATGGCAGAAAATGCTAACAGAGTTTTAATCATTTATGTCATACTAACCTGTATGACATAATACTAACCCATACTAACCCATAAAATCATTCTTTTTTTCCCTATTTTTTCAGTTACAGTTTATCACCTATAGTGATTAGACGTTTGTATAACTTAAGAATTTATGACCTCAATAAGTCTAGTACCCACGTGACATCATCCATCGTTATTACAGTATTGTTCATCAAGAACTGAAACAGAATTCTATGTCAGTTATTTTAAATTGCTAATTTCAGAAATGAGGATAGAATATAGTCCTTTGGATTTGGCTGGCTAGTGTTTCTGGAACACCTACCCTGTGCCAAGAAATAGTGTTAAGTAAGCAAAGGTTATCAGAATGTATATTCCTAAACAGAAACTAGCCCCTGACAACAAACAGACCACACTACAGTAGTTGCGAAAGCTCCAATGCAGCTGTCCTGGCATCCTGAGAGTCATATGCCTATTTCCCTATGCAGCCCAACCTGGAAGAGGTTCTGAGTGAAGGCCTTACTTCGACCAACTCCCATTCCACTTACTTTGGTGATGTGGGTGGTGGTCGTGGTACTGGTGGTTTCAGATGTGATCGTCTGTGCGCTCATTAGTACGCCTGGCTCCAAATCAGCACTAGGATCAACCTATGCAAGCAAAGGAAGAGACATCACACTCTAATATTTACATTACCTCTTCAGATGTTTGCTCTGTTGGTTTAGGGCCTTAGGATGATTTAGTTGTCTCCCACCATTACTGTGTTCCTCAATCAACCTCTAGCAGCTGCCACTATGGCTAAAGACTGAACCAGACATGACCGGAGTTAACTATGATTAATAAACTGGGACTTTAGAAAGAGAGCAGTGGCATGTTTAAGCTACCCGCTTCTCCATGATGAGTAATCAAATTATAATTACTGCATCACTCCTGATAAGAGACTGTCTGGCTTTTGGGTCCTCTGAGTTTCACAAACTAAAAATCATACTGTTACACTTAAACACACTGAGCCATTAAAGGGGTAAATCAAAGTGCCGGGGCTCTGGTCTCCACAGACTGTCTTACCTGTGATGATTCATATGTTATGGTTTTGGTTTCTGTGTGAACAACTGGCAATTCCTTGGTAGACATTTCTAGCTTTACTCCTCCTGGTGAAACACTGCCGAAACTGATGGTCTCTGTCTTCACAGTAGATGACTGCACCAATGGGAAGCAGGGAGAGCGGCTATTAGTTTGTACCACAGTTTGCTTTTTCTCCCTCCCCGCTTGGTGGATATATATAAGCACAGGTTAGTATGACATAAATGTTTACATATTCCATGAGGTTAGGTAAGTTGGGAAATGAGGAACACAACAGATACATGTCCAACAGTCTCCCAGAATTCCACAGCATCTATTTATATGGAATGTTCCAGGTAAAGGAAAACATTTTGAAGGAAATAAACTATTTTTACATGCCTCCTCCTTGATCTCATAAATTAAAAAATCATAAATTAGCTTTAAAAAAATTAACTTCTTAGAAAGAGGGAACAAATAGTAAGATATAACCTTCCTGCCCCTAGTACCTCAAGAACTGCAAGAAAATACAATAAAGAATAAAGTTCTATATTTGGCACCTGGACAAGCATGGTTTTTGGTCCTTCAAGATTACATTGATCAGAAATAAATTTTTCAAATTTTCTAATATCTTGGCTGGACATGCATTATGCAGGTTTATCATCAATTACAATAATTCCAATGAGAACAGCAATCATTCTTGGAACTATATGTTTTTAAGTATCATTATATACGTTTGCATTAGACCCACACTTGCCGTGCAAAATGAAAATAAGAGAAACAAAATGCACTTGAAAAACGTAGAAAATTAAACTTTGCTCCATCTTCACACAACTAAATTTCAAGGACTCTTAACAGTTCACTTTAGTGCTTAACTACTAGTTACCTCAAAGTGAGGTTTTTGTTCCAAAGTTTCAGAAACGTGGATTGCTACGCTCTGCTCCTCCTTTGGCTCATGGGAAGGCGTGGCCATTTCTTCCTGTTCCAATACAGCTTTATCGGCCACCTCCATTTTTTCCTCTTTAGCCCCCTCCGTCAGAGCAGAGCCCTCCTTCCCTTTAATGCTAGAAGCATCGGCAGGTGCTGCCTGCGCTGCAGCATCCACATCATCTCCAGCCGTGTGAGAAGCATCCCCGCTTGCGTGCACATTCATCACATGTCTCTCCTCCACCAACACAGTTTCCTGCACAACCTTCTCAGTGCTAAGTGGCTGAGGACGCTGGGTTGTTTCGGGCTCTGTTTCGCTGGACTCTGTCCTGGTTTCTGTTTTCTGCGTAAGAGAAGACTGTGGTGTCAGTGTGACTTTCTATAGACCAAAGGTCAAAAAAACAAATAGAAAAAAACCCCCAAAAGATGCCACTCACCAAATGCCTAAAGTCAGTGTCAAGTGATTATAACCAGAAGCACTTACAGAAAATAAAAATTAGCTTTCATTCCTCCCTCCAGAGCCCTTGATGCCTGCCCTGTGCCCAAGCACACACGCGCGAACCTGTGCTGCTACTTCGGGATATCCGCAAAAGAAACAAAAGGCTGCACAAAACACGATTTAAAAAAAATAAAAAAAGCAACAACAGAAAATGAACCAAAGCACTGTAGCACATTCATATTGGTTTTGGCTGCTTTCTTGGACCTAATTGGTGACATAAAATTCTTTAAAAAATTAAATGTTATTCAAGTTTCTTTTCTCAACACCATTGCCTTTTGAGTATCTGAAATATGTTCTTAGAATCGAACGGAATGTTTATGACAGATATGCCAAGCAGGCGCAACGGAAAAGAACTGATGGCACCACTGAGGTGTCTGAGGCAGAGCCCACTTGGATGCAAAACACGCACGCATGCAGCCAAAGGGCATAAAGAAACAAAATGAGGCAAACAGGCAGAGTCAGGAACACGGAGGATAGAAGCAAAAGGCCACCTGAACCCAGCTTTGAGAAGAAGAGGTAACCCCTCCTATGAATTCTGTTGGTTTTCTTGCAGATTCTAATAGACTGAAGATTTCAGAGCCATCCATGAGCTTTTCGCCAGAAGACTGCTTAGTCTGAGTGGACAGAGAAATGGACAGTCAAGCACAGAGACAGGTACATACACAGGCACATAACATTTGCAACTGGTTAGACAAAACTGGAGGCGGAGGAGAAAGGGAGGAGGGATGAAGGAATCTACTGTACAGACTTTGAAAACGGAAAAGAATGGGAAATAAAATAGCAAATTGAGGTGACCATGAGCTCTTGTTTGGTAAAGCGGAGAGAGTTATTAGGATTAAGGCGGTGCTGGTTTAAGCAGATCATTTTTCCCTTCATTGCAAGCCACAGCAGCACTATCACACCTCGGGAACAGGGAGCTGGAAATAAAACGGAAAGTGTTTTAATGCTCGCTGGACTGCGGTACTGACTTAACCATGAACAAAAGTAAAAAGCTTGGGTTGGCGGCTCCGAACTTAAAGCCAAATAGCAAGAGAAAAACAAAGGTTCAGGGTTTAAGGGCGCTGCCTCATAAACGTCATGCTGGAATCTGAAACGGTGGCCCAAATGAAAGGCACTGGTTACCACGACTCGGGATGCGGCGGACTCGGTAAGGTAATGAGCAGTAGCGACGGTGAAGGCCGGTTCCTGGGAGTACCTCCACTCGGACAGGCTCTTCCTCCTGGGTCCAAAGAGCCCCACTTTTAGTGCCTCGCCTTCCGGTGCTTGCTCAGTTTTGCTCCACTGCACACTCTCCAGGCTCACGTGCAGAGGTGCCCCCCCTCCCAGCACCTGAGCTTTCTTGAGGTCTTCTTCAGGACTCTGCCGGCGGGACTCGGCTTCCTTGATGGGAGCCAGGGATTCTGACAATCTCCGCTTTGAGATATGGACCTCAGGTCCTCTTTTGGATTTCTCATCAGCGATGGCTTCCAGGACCTCGTACTCGGTCATGTCAGGGATGACCTTCACAGACTCCACTTTCTGTAGTGCTTCTAGAGTAGAGGGCTGCACTCCCTTCTCCCCCTCCTTAGCTTTTCCAGTCATAGTAACAATTTTTCCCGATACAGTATCATAGGACTTTCCTAGAGTGTATATTTTCTGTTTGCTTTCTTCTTGCAGTTGCATTTCTCGGGCCAAGTCATCGAAGCTCTGCACTTCAATGGTACTAGATCTTAACAGGTCGGCAGGGATGTCACCAGTTCTACTGCTCACGGTCACCACCTTGTAAGTCACAATCTTTTTCGAATCACCATCAACTATCTCAGTAGGTATTTTGTCTACAATTACCCAATCCTCTGTGCCCTATATTTGAAATATAAAAGCTAAATTAGAAAAGTCTGATGGTACCTCATTTCTAAAATAAGAATCCTTTAAGAAAATCAGAGTAAGAGCTACACTCATGTGACTGCACAGGGCTGGTATTATCATCAAATAATTACGGCTGCAGTCTCTTCTCGTCTGAAATTTATAAATTCTAATCTTCAATTAGTAATACAGTCTGCATGCAGAACTGCAATTTTAGATTTCTTTAAATGGAAACACACTTTGGTGGTAAATCTTGCAAGAAATATATCTGACTGTTCCGTATTTCAAGATTAAATGACAACTGAAGTGGTGGTACGAGTTATTTAGCTTTACTTGTGTGGACATAGGAAACAGTTTTTCACATGAAAAACAACACTGTACTTCACATTTGTTCTCACAAAGAATGTCCCAGCATTCCACAAATTTCTGGGAATACCACTTCATGTTTGTAAGTTATACTTCCTTATTTAAGAGATCAAATTCATTATAACACTTATTATCCAATAAATATTGGGGGTGCCTGTGTACAAGGAATTAAAATGAAATATTTCACATTGTTGGGACATTTCTGGAAAGTCTTATAAACAGGCTATAGTGGTCTGTACAGTGTTCCAATCTTATCTACAACTGAAGTTCATCGTCTCAGTACTTTCTTTGCCACTTCCCTTAGTGTTAGTTCCAGTAAGGCAGGGGAAAGAAAGGTTAAGAAATTTTTGCACTTTGGAAGCCTAATAGGATGTGACCGGGCAGCTGACTAGCCTAACAGGTTATAGAGGGAAGAGAAATCAGACGAGGAGTAGATGAGCACCTTGGTTTACATTTTAAACTAGAATGTTTTCTACTTTGATATTTATCATTGTCTGAAAACTTGAATCTAGAAATATATGCCTTAAGAAAAAGGACTGCAGATTCATCTATAGGTTGCTGCTGGAGTAAATAAAATGAACGGAAAAATAACCTCTAGGGTTGATGGGACAGTTTTCTGGAAAATGATTTGATGAGAGGTAACCACAGAGCCTGCAGAGTCTCCTTCGCGCCTTTTCTTTATCACACTCGGCTAGTGGGAAAACCAATAAAAGTTCAGAACTTTCATAATCATTCAAAGTCATCTAAATTAGTATTATACCACAGGTAAAACAAATGGTAAAGAGTTTAATACTATTAGAAATGACCACACACAGGCATAGCCACCTAGAAGCAAAAGCCATAAAGAAATGTTGACTACAATGGTAAAAAAATTCTTTTTCCCCGCCCCATAATCTAAGCAAAAATAATATACCTACCTTAGTTTTCAGCAAGGTAAAATAAAAAAACAAACAAAAAAACCCCCTAAAGACATTTTAATGACACTGCAATTTGAAGAGCAATTCCCTTTTGGAAAATTCCTCTGTTTGTTTTTTACCTGAGACTCAAGGAATGGAGAGCTTCCTTGCTGCAAAAATATAACTTTTTCAGAAATCTCTCTTTCTTCTTTGGTCTGTTTGAATAAAGGGGGTTGGGTTGAAGAAGAGGAAGTAGACAGTTTCCAAAAAGGCAAGTTAGGAAGAGAGTTCTATTATTGTGCTATACATATAATAGTCATTCATTTTTTTTCTGAAGTAGCAAATTATTGTTTACTAATTTGAAAAATGGCCTGAAACCATCTCAAAGTTGAATAGTTATTTCCAGAAAGTAACAGATAGTTTTCTGAAACTCTGATGTTTGTATGACTCAAACATTTTTCATTTCTATGAACACAGAACATGTAAAACCCATATAAAGAGCACCTTGGCGTTTGAACAATGTCTAAATGCCAGTCATCTGCAGCACCATAAAAGTGGGTATTAAAAGAAAATGTTAAGATAAAAAAATTAAGGTAGGAGTACACTTCTATTTTTGACCAATACTTGATTGTATTCCCCATAAACGAAGAGTAAAGAAACACACATGGTCACTGCATTAGCTATTGATTTGAATAAATCCAGTTATATCTAGATTGATTTCTGTATTGTTCCACAAATAAACAAAATCTATTCAAGGTGATAGCTTTATTTGACTATTTATGGCATGATGAATACTTTTAAATAAAAGTCAATTTGAAAATATCTCGGTGAAATAGTATTTCAAATCATGCTTATCTTTATCATATAAAATTAAGAAATAAATGGTAAAGTAAATATATCATGGTAGAACTAGTTTTATTCTTTTATCTGTTTTATACTCCTTTCTTTAATATTAAAAAGGTATAAATAAAGTGACAACACATTAGCTGCTGACCCTACCTCTGTGCACAGCGCACAAGTGCAGAATAGTGACAGAAAGGGTGTTTTGGAAAATGAATTAAAAAAATAACAGAAAGTTCAAAGCTTCTAGAAGAACGGAGCTTTTAAAATAAATTTTATTGCTGCAAACAATATAATTTTATGGGGGCTATTTAATGAGTAACAAATAACTTATTTTTGCAAAAGAAAAAAAATGCCTGCCCTGCCCCATTTTGGAGAAAGGCATTGGAAGAGACACAAGGTACCATGTGAAATCATTAAATGTGGATTTTTGCTTTACTTTCAATCATAGCCTCTTTCTCAAGCAGGTAAAGAAAGGTAAAAAAATATATGTACTTTTCAGAATACCACTGCTAGGCCTCTAATTATAATCACTGAACGAAATATTTTTCCTAGGATGAAAGCTTAAAAAAAAAAAAAACTAGCAGGAAAACAGCAGTTTTTAGCATATCCTATTATCTGACATCAACTAATTTCAAAAAGGTCTGTGTCTATAACTAAAATTGCCCACACTGTCTGCATTCAGAATGGGGCACATCCAATAACAGAAAAGGGTAACAAAAGGGGATAGACTTAGAAATTAAATCCTATATATGGTCAACTAGTCAGTTCAGCTAACAGAGGAGAGGTCCTGATAAAGTTGATAATTAAACATTTACTTGTATAATGGGTTAGAATAGAGTCAGATGTGTACTCCGACAATTCTGTTCATTTACTTAAAAGTTTATTTCTGTATCATAATTGGGAAACAAGCCCCTACGCTGACATGCAAAATTCAGAGGCATTTTGCTCTTGAGAGAATTAACAGTTTCCACAGAGTTGTGACTCCCATTTCTGACTGGGACAGGGCTTTTCAAACTGAGCTGTACATTATTGATTAGAATTATGTGGTAAGCTTTTCAATAACAGGGATGTGTGTTGTACATATTAGTATTTTAAAAAATTTACATAGATAATATTATGCACCTAGTGTTCCACCCCAAGGCCCAGAAGTCAGATTCAGAGGATGAAGATAATTCTTCCTATTCACAAATGGATGATCCCTGGTGAATGGGGTTTTTTTTCGTTCAGTTTGAGGTCTATTTAAGACCTGAATAGCAAAAGTAGAACTGGACCAGAAAGCAGTCAAATGCATAAACAGAATTGACTCTAGTTATTCATGGTTGTTACGTTCTATAAAGTCACTATGAACAATGAATTAGTGAATAATGAAATGTCCCCCATTAGGGAAATACAAGGTTAGGTTCCTATGAACCTCTGGTTATATTAACACATAACCTTGCTTTATATGCATTTCTCTTTAAAGACCTTTATATTCAATATATATTATTGATCCACTGACACTGAACTCACGGTCAACAACCCTGTAACTTATTCCTGAATGAAGTTTATCTAACGCATGGAGTCCCTCCATAAAGCACACTGTAGACTTCTTGGGATGAGGAACATTATTGGATAGCACAGCCGTACTTATGCCTGGGGGCTATTTTAAATAGCAAAATCAGCAGCAGTAACACAAAAGAGTGAAAATGTGCCACTAAATAGGCCATGAAAAGGACACTTGTATACAGTATGAGAACCAAGACAAGAAAGCAGAAAACACTGCCTTTTAACTTCAGCTGGGAATGTGTACACCGAACCACTCGTTTTTCACCACTCTAAGCCTGTCTGCAAATGACCGGGAAAGCACCGTTAATACTAACTTCGGGGATACAATAAATTTTAGCGAGTAAGCAAGTCCGCAAATAGGGAATCATGAATGAGGAGGATTGACTGTACTAAGCTTACATACCTGTAAAACCAGTCACATTTAAAAAGAAGACAATATTGGCACTGTGTTAAGTGCAAGTTGGTTGGGATTTGGGAACTTTTAATATTCAAGTAACCACAACGAGCGATGTTTAACCCGTGGCCCCTGGGCTGCATGTGGCCCAGGATGGCTATGAATGCGGCCTAACACAAAATCGTAAATTTGCTTAAAACCTTTTTATTTGCTCATCAGTTTTCGTTACTGTTTGTGTATTTAATGTGTGGCCCAGAGATGCCAAAAGGTTGGATATACCTGCTATCTCTAATGTGGAGTAGGCCGAGGGGCATCATAGAAGTCTGTCATAGGAAGTCTTTGTGGACAGAAGACATACCTGGAACTCTTCAAATACCACACATTTCCCTTCCTATACTTCGCAGAGACTGTATATGGGTTTGCTGATTTTCCAAAGTTAATGAGGACTTAGTGTTGTCTGCTGCTTTCCGGTATATCCTTGCTATTTGACTCCTAATAACTCAAATATTTGAAACTTGAAACTACTGGCAATAAAATTCTCATATAGTATATTTATTCTCATACTAGTAAATATATGTCTCATATATTTACTATATAGTATAGTAAATATACATATAAATATACATAATATTCTTAGAGTATTGTAAGTACTACTAGCTCATTATCTGTATTTCTAACTCTTAATTTTCTTTTAATCATAAATTGATAGTATTTTATAGTATTTATTTACTTAGAATTTGAAACACCATTTGAAAGAAAAAAAATGGTCACATTAAAAATCAGCTGTAGGTATTTTTCTATGACATTTTATCACCAAGATTAACAAAAAAATCCAACTAAGCTTGGGGTCACTGAATCAAAGTTTCTTCACCCTCTGACACAAACCATATTGCTTTATTTGGAATGTTACTTTTTAAAATATTTTAAATATTTCCTTTTAGGAATAACTGGACTTTTTTCCAAACTGGTCAATACTGCTTACTTAGAGATATATTAAACAATAGGATGATATCAAATTAGTAATTTACTTAAAAAATACCTTCCTTTTAAAATGAAAATATTTTGGTTATGTGTTTGTAAATGAATATGTTTTACATGTAGCTAGCTGGGAAGGTAAAATTTCCCTTTGAGCCTTTCACAAAACACATTTTAAAAGCCGTGGTCTTAACATAGAAATTGGCAAGAATTTAGAGCATACAAACTTTCTGGGTTGTTCTCAGGGCTATCTCCTGGGTCCTGGGCCCTCAAATGGACCACACACTTGGCAGTCATCAAGGGTCCTTGACAAGGTCAGAAGGGAGCCCCCAGGCCACTGTGCCTCACCCTCGGCCAAGGGAAGTGTGTGGAGCTCTGACCTGCCCCAAAAGGACCTCTCTTCCTCTGGGACTGGAAGCTCCCGAGGTTGCTCTTTGAGAGTGCCTTTGATATCCGGGGTTATCAGCCTTGCTCTTGAGAAGTTCTTCTTTGCATTGAGCCAAGTCTTTCTACAATGTCCTCTTTGTGTGGTGGTGGTGGAGCAATGTGGTATAGCCTCCTTCTGCTTTACAACTTAGGAGACACTTGAAAACAGTTACTAGGCCAGCCTTTGGTCTTCTCCATTCTAATTAACCAACCTGCTGGACTCTTCCGCAGAGGATTTATTTCCAACCTTTAATCATTAAAAAAAAAAAAAAAAATCCTTGTCCAGGCTCACTGCAGCTTCTCTGCACTAACACAAAAAAGGCATTAAATACAGGGAAAGTTCCCTATGTTCAAAGTAAAAGTTCTCTATGTTCAAAGTATCACCATTTCATCAAGTTATTAATGTTTTTGGGTTCATCAGTGTCATCATCAGTGTCATTCTCTAAGAATCAGAGGATTTAGTAAGTGAAAAAATTTTTACAAGTGTAATGGCCTAGCCTTTTAAAGTCCCTTGTAATAAACATTAACAGAGTTCTCCAAGCATCTACCTAAACTTCCTTCAAGTGGCTACCCCCTACTATGTCCCTTACTAACAAACTGTGAAGAGGCATGGCTTATTTGGTTGGTTTCTGTTTTGGTGGCTGTTTTTTGTTTTTGTAACTTAAGCCAGTGTCTCCCATCCTCAGAGCCAAAATGATATTCCTTATTTTCAACAGAAATAATAGACACATTATAAGCCAAACTTCACAAATTGGAATGAAATTAACAAGTAGTATTCTTACTAACGCAGGGACTACAACATTTGAATCAACTCGAATGTCAAGTTTTTGTCTCTTGAAACTCAAGTAATTCTGAATGAAATCGGTGTTTAACAGTAAAGGAATACTTTGATAACAGTACTTTTCATTTGCTTTGCATAAAAGTGCCTTTTCCAAAGTAATTCAAACAGATATGTACTTCATCGCTTTTTAGCTGGGATTGGAATTGTCATGAAGACAGTGATTGTGGTAACTTTTGATAAATAGTTCTCAAATGAAGTTTTAAAAATGATTAAAATGAATGTAATTACAGTCGTCTTTTCACTGCAAGGACCTAAGCCTTGCAAGTATACTACTGTTTAAAGAATTTTTCTCCCATAAAGGCCTAAGTTTTAATTTTCTTCTATTCTGTTTCAGCTCCCTGGACAAATATCTAACAATAACAGAGTCTTGATAAGCAATTAATACGATGCTAGAAAGATGCAGTTTTAAAAAACTACTTCTTTTGAAAAGCAGATAAAGCAAGCTGGTGTCTAACAGCTGACAGACTAGCATCACTGCCATTTGTGGGTCTCACACAATAGGAGCCCCGAAGTCACTAACATCAGCTGAGTCCTCCCTATACTCCCGTTGTAACTTAAAGAGAGCTTTCCTATATGGAGGAGTCTCTCTTAAAAAAGACATTCTGGCCTTGCTTTTCTTATTAAAAATCAAATAAAAACTGGTAATAAGTCAGTTAAAATACCAGTTATAAGTACAAAAAATCAGTTATAAATAAAAATCAAATAAAATACTGATCATACCAGTAAAAGACTTGAGTTGTATTCCCTGAGTAAAATATGTCCTGAAAGTCTATCAACGTCAGGTCACCCTTTACTTAAGCATTAGACCACCTCCAGAGGCCTCATCGTCCAATGCATAAGAAGCATTCACGAGTTTTCAAGGCATTTCTTAATGCAGCAGAAACAGCGTATTCAGAAAAAGTGTCAGTTCATTAAGATAGTACCTCAATTTTTCCCAGCTGGGAAGTCTGGGTTTAACAGTTACAATAAGCCAGCATGCACTATAATTGCCCATGGCTCCTAGTTCACTGTAAGCCCACAATCTGATGTGACAGACTCACTCCTTAGTCACCTTATCATTTTACTTCTCAGCTTTTCTTTGAGCCCTGAGCATGTCAGCTCAGGTTACACCTAGACAAGTGGTGAGATTCTTTACTCAGAAGCTTGCCAAATCCTTTCCCCAGGTTCAGACCCTGCAAAGAAGCGAGTCTAGTGAACAGAAAACAATTGCAACCAACAGCCTGAATACCGACCTCTTCAGGTACAAGGGGCTCGATCATGGGCGCATCCTCCTGCCTGGCGGCTAGTCGCACCGGGGAGGTAGACAGCCTCTTTTCCCACTCATTTGTGATGGCAGTGTCTGTGGAGGTTTCTAAAAAGGTTCTTTTCAGCTCACTAATATTGGTCTGATGTTTCATCAGGTCATCTTGAGTTTTATCTAGCTCCTATATTCAGAACATAAAGAATCCAACAGTCAACATTTATTTTCCTTTTTGCTTTCTCTCTCTTTTAAAAAAAGTAATGTCAATCTCACTAGCAGTTAAAACAAAAGTTTTGACTGCGGCTCATGACACTACCACAAACACTCTGGTGAAAATATATTTCCAAGGAAAAGAGAGGAAAAAAAAAATCTAGTTCACGCAAGCATAAAAATCAAGAGTTTTAAAAGGTAAACTGTAAAATGTGTAATTCACATGTAACCAGAGAGAATTAAAGTAAATACACACACAGAAAGAGAGAGAGGAAGGAAATTAGAGAAAGGTGAGAACCATCCCCACTTATCCACAGGTGAGAGCACACAGTTCATGCATCATGGTATGAGCTCATAGGTCTACCACGAAAAGAAATCAACACACATGAACATGCACTGGTATATACCAATACCAACCTCTAACATAAGATTACTATGTTTGACATACACATTTTCACCCTTTATTCGCTTAATCAGACTATTCTGAAAAAAGTGGAGAAGAAAGGGAAAGGTAAGGGACGTGGTAGTCATGGAAACAAATGCCATCCTCCACACTGAACCAACAACATGGTAACCGGCTACGGAGCATGCTGGACAACTTGAACATGGTACACAAACAATGGCTTATCACACACTGGTTTTTGCTATTGTTTTATTTTTAATTTTCTACCTGTGCCTTGAGCTCTGCATCTTCCTCCTGGTCCGACTGCCAGCACCAAGAAAGAGTGGGAAATAAAGTCTTACCATGCATGTGACTCTGAGACTGAAGGATTATAGTCTGTAAACCTGCTAAAAGGGGGCTCCAGTTTGTTCCTGCTTAAGCATGCTATCTCTTTCTTATATGCACACTGCAACATTCTCTCCCACAAATTATGAAGCTTAATAAGAAGAGAGGAGTGAAAGGTTCCTCGCTCAGTGGGTCTTTGCCACTTTAACCTAGAGACTTGCAGGTGTGATGAGTGCACACATACGCTCGGGACATGACAGCGAGAGCTTGGTGGGCTGTCTTTAATGAACATTAGAAAGGGTTCAGGAAGTGTGGGGAGCCCCATTAAAATTAAAATTCATAAGAATGGCTATAACTTCCCAACAGTGAGAGGTCTCTTGTAGTATAAATCCTCATAATAATCCTATGAGCTAAGGTTTTATTATCCCTGATTTGTAAGCCAGAGAACTGAGGCTCAAAAAACTTAACACAGCGGTTCTCCCATTAAAAAATTTCTTAGGACCTGTCATTTTTTGAATTCATTTACTTAAAAACCAACTTGGGAGGGCAGAAGAAAGACAGAGGAAGAAAATTTTTACAAAAGTCAACTACCATCAATATTACCTTTAAAATGTAGACAACACAATGTTTCAGTTTTTAAGAAATACAAAAAATTTACCTAAATGCAATTTTGTTATCTCCTCCTCCCTCACCCCCAGTTTCAAGGACGTGTCTAATCCTTGGACTGGTATCTTGAATACAAAAACTGCTAGGTAACTAGGCCAAGCGACATGTGCACACAGGGCCTGGACTGTCTGGTCCTATGCGGCAAAGGAGGTCCAGAGTAAAATTACAGGCAAGATGAGGGCAAAGCCTGGGCAAGTGGCTGTAAACAGATCAGTCTATCTGGCTCTCACATCTGTCAAAGGGGACAGGAAAGCCTAGCCAGCATGCCCCACCCTGCACTACTATTATGCTGGTTCCTGGAAGAAAAGAAAATGTGTTTAAAAAGCATTGAAGAGTGCACAGGTAACTCTAGCAAAAGTGCTGGCGACATGCTAATTATTAAGCGTGTGGTGGGTTTACAGTTTTTCAACTTATTTTTAAGCTTCAAAATCTACCTATGTTACATGTATTTGTTTTCATGCTTCAGATGAAACTGCTGTATAAAGTATTATTAATATATCTTTCATGTATAGCACCTAGGATTACAATGAAATTTATTAAATATATTAACATGCAGCTATGTGTAACTAATAATTCTTATACAATCAAAATGTGCTATTATATTTCATCATAGAAAATTAACTCAATAAATTTACATCATTGCTTAAAAGAATATGAAAAATAGTTTTACAATATTATTTTCAATTTAAAAAATTATGATTTCCAAGCTTTAAATTGAACCCTAGCATTTCCAAAGACACTTAATAAACCTCCATTTTGAAATATTTTTCTGAAGATATTTCCAATAGAGTGACATAGATATTAAATATTTTTAGTTCTTCCTAAATACCCAACTAGATATTTAATATTGAATGATGAAAATATATCTCACAGTAAAAAATAAATTCTGTTAGCACTTTAGGAAATGAACATCTTGACTTTCATTACTATAAATACTGGTTTTACAGAAATTTTAATTACTGGTAGAGAAGATCTAAAAAATGACATAAGCCACGCACACACACATATTTACTGTATCCTAAAGATTTAATAAAGGTTACATAATAGCATAGTATCTCTCCTATCACTGTTCCATTTTTTCAATAAAGTACTAAAAATCATATTTTAATTTTCTCTTCCTTAGATAATTCATTTATTTTAAGTGACATGTGCTACATCCAGTCTACAAAAATGAGATAAAAGAAGTATTATTATTTTAACAAGTATTACTTGACTACTTAGGATATCTATATCTATATCTATATACCTGTATCCAGTCAATATGCTGGTTAAATTAATCACAATGCTCCTCCCCTCTCATCATGTCTATGATACATAAACAGACTCCCTTGGAATAGGGGAATATATTAAAAGTAAGTACTTTTAGTTTAGCCAAATTGTTCTCAAAATATGATCCTAACTAAAACTGACAGAATCAACATCGTCTGAAAACTCCTTAGAAACACACATTCTCCATTCCCACCCCAGACCTTCTTCTGATCTGAGGCCGGACCCTGAAGAGGATTCTGATGCAGGCCAGAGTTTGAAAGCCAATGGTAGAATATACTTAACTCCTACTGTTAAAGTTAGAATTTCCCTCCACTCTAAAAACTAATGTGCAAAGTTCCTAAAAGCAGAGCCACTACCCTCATTATGAGACCAACCTCAGTGGCGGTGGTTTCGCCATCGGCCGCGGTGTCCGTGCGCTCGCTGTCCGTCTGTGGATCACAGAAGTGATCGGGTTCCAGGAGGAAGGCAGGGAATAGAAAACAAACCCATGGGGTTAAGTAGGGTATGGTGCAGGCCGAACAGTTCATTCTCTTTCTCTGAGATCTGTGTCACTACCTTCCCACAAGAATGCAGGGTCAAGCAAAAGCAAAAGAAAGGCCAGAGCTAGGTTTCACCAGCAGAGCCACTCAGAGGAAGACCAGAGGCGCACAGCCTGCGGGAACCGCAGAAACTGCATCCGCCAGGCTGACCTGTCTGGTTTTATGTCTCTGGAAAACCAATTTGACATTCTTTCCCGCCTTTTTAACTAAAACCCAAGATAGATCACCTAAAAATGTTTAATGTAAATAAATTCGATGTTTATGTATGTTTTTTATTCTAGTAATATTTCACACATTTGAAAGGTAAATTAAAATAAAAAGCTACTATAACAGTCACTGGACTTTCAGCCCCTCATTTATACCATTTTGATAATTTATACCCATTTATGACCACCAGGCTGTCTGCATTACCTATTAATTATAAAAAGCACATGCCAGTGACTCACAGGCATATGTTTTATATAAAAAAAATGTAACTCAATTTTCAAGTAGCACTACTAACTAGATGTTTTTAGAGATTAAATGATGTGTTTACTTGCACCACCCTCCAATATAAAGAAGTATATCAACTCTTCCCCAAAAGAAAACCATTCAAATGAAGCAAATAATAATAATAATAATTTTAAAAAATAAAAGAGAGAGACATCTACTTGGAAACATTAAAACAAAGCACAGCATTTTTCAGAGCCCAGGTTTTCAGGAGAGAATTACTATAGTAATGTCAGGACTGGTTTTTAATCTGGTTCAGAGGTTTATGATTTAAAACAAAAACTATTTTCTCTGGAGGAGAGTAGAGCCATAAGCCATTTAAACAGGGACATCTAAATGTCCTACTATAATATTAACTGACTTTCCTTCCATAATATCAACTAAGTATTAAAATTCCCTAGAGCAAAGATGTGTGAATATTTTGAAAACAAAAATCAAAACTGGGGTCTCTAAGGTTGTAAATCTGCCTCTTAAAATAATCTCTCTGTCCCTAAAACAAGGAATGGCAGGAAGGGACAAATGGGACAGTGTTGTTTACGCTCACATAACTCTGCCTACGTTGACAATTTCTTGGCACCACCCCAAACTTTCACTTTATATATTCCTAAAAGAAAAGGAGTTGGAATTTGTGCAATGGTGCATCTGAGGTCACCATTCGGACCACTTGCTACCATGTCTAAATGGAAAATAATTTTTAGTAGGCTGGTAAAGAAAGCGTGTTGATATATTTTCATGACTTGACAACCATAGTAACACCTGGGGGAGGGTGGCTATTAATTTTCTTGGGTGCTCATTGCATTACCATGGCTTCACCCACTGACAGGTTAGGAAAAGGCCAGTCTGAACAAGGAAGAGAGAGAGGTTACTGTTCAAGTCTGCAGAATGATTCAAACAGAATCTTAAACTTCAAGAACAAATAAGAATGACCTGTTCTCAGTATGCTAACTAATTGTGTTAAAGATTTTAAAAGTTCTTGAAAGTATTTCTCTTCCTACATGGATTATTTCCCTGTGGCTTTAAAATTTGTATCAGGAACTTTCTAAGCATCTTGGCTTTAGATTACAGTGGTGGTGAAATGTGAGGGGTCTGAGGTCAGACTGACATGAGCTAAACTCCTTGCTATTCAAATCTGTGACAAATTGGGCAAGTTTCATATTTTAATCCCAATTTTATTATAGTAAAATGGGGAAAATAACCCTCGCCATATCAGGTTAAGAATACTAAGTGCTTTGTATGACATCTAACATACAGGGAACTAAAAATACTTATGAAAATTATAATATATTGATATTAATATATTACATATTTATTACTACTATTTTTCCCAGCTATAGATAAATCATAGCTTAGGCCATTCGAAACTCCCTCAAATTCCTACTTAGCACCTAGTCAGTCGGCCACTCATAAAAACAGAGTGCCTGGTCAATAAATAGTTAATAAATGAAGTTATAAAGGCTGAATAAAATAGCTTTTATAGCCACTGTTATTTATATAATATACTATCACTAAACAAAACAGCAAACGTATAGCATATCATGAACTATCACAGAACGCTATGTTTATACAATTTAAAATGTTAAAAATCAAGTGATCAATTTTTTTCTTCCAGATTTGAGTTTATCTTTTTGTGTTTGCATTATCAAAAAATTCTTTGGAAATGCACATGTAATTACATTTTATGGTATGGTGAGCTAAATTCATCTTATGTTTCTTGAGAGATAATTTAATATACTGCCCCTTCTTATTTGACCATTCGGAAAGTACCAAAGAAAAAGATTACTGGTCATCAGCTTTAGGTTTGAAATGATTAAGCCTTTCTACATTGGGTTTCACTCTGGAGAAAGGCTGTAACTAATTAAGCCACCAAAACAAGTAAAAAAATGTAAGCAGTGATGATAAAATATTTTAAAAGAACTGTGGTCATTAGTGATCCTGCAAAATGAAAGTCAAAGGGCTGAACTGTATGTTACGAAGTCATCCAGTTTAGCTGCCAAAGTGCTTGAGGCCTGGAGAATGAAACAGGCCATGTTAACAAATGACCATTTTTTAAAAAACTGAATGACCTACATATGAGTTCTCTAGCTCAGCTTGAACTAGAGTGCACAGCTCTGAACACTTGGCATTAAGAGACGACATTGAACAGATGGTCAAATATGAGGTCTTGTGTCAGGAGAGCTCCACAGCTGATGGAGGCTGCAGAGGAGGGCTAAGGAGGCTGCAGTGGCCAGAGCTGGTTCATAGTCTGAAAGGTTTGCAGTAATAAGGAGAGGCGCGTACTGGGAAGCTCCAGTCCTATGGCCACTAGCTTGCACAAGTACTGCTGTGATTTGTTTTGCTGATGTAATGCAGACATGCCCAAGTTTAACATTTATTCTCATGCATTGATTACAACAAGATGTATACCCTGGATTAGGCACAAGATCTGTGTGGTTTGCTACATATAAATTCAGTTATTTGGAATTAGGAATGCATAAAATGACAGTCTTTTTGCTTTACGTTAGCCTGATGACTAACCATTGCTAAAAGAAAAATATATATCCAGGTTGAAAACAAGCTATAGTCTTTGTAGATAAACCTGTGTTTGTAATTGTTGTATGTTCTAGTCCCATATTATTTGTTCATAATTGTTGTGTGTTCAAGTCCTATATTATTTGATAATATTGCCACTGTGAGAAAGAGTGCTATTAAAGCCCAAGAGTTAAACTAGTATTCTCTTAAAATATTTTCCATGTATGAAGATAGTTATATATATATAGATATACATATATATATCTATATATATATCTCTCTCTATATATATTGGAGCTAAGTCAGATATGACCCAAGATCCTTGAAAAGAGTTCTTAGGCAGTATCAAAATTGAAAAGCTTAAACTTTCATTTCAAACATCTATGAAACTATTCCCATTTTTTTCCTTCTGCTGCAAAGAAATGATATCACTAAATATAGATCTTTACACACCCTGGCAATACTATATACTCATAGGTGTAGATCATATGATTTCTAGCTGAGCTAAAACTAAAGACTTTCTTTTCTTTTTGTAGTGTTGCTTTGACTTGGTAAGTTTTTCTTTTCTTTCTTTCTTTCTTTCTTTTCTTCTTCTTTTTTCTTTTTGGATGCTAGGAGTGCTGAGCTTGTCTCCTGCCAAGAAATCCTTATTTTATGGGAACAGAAGAGCTGGTGGGACCTGGAGGAGGTGTGGATAGGAGGGTAGGTGACAGCCAGGTACCTCTACTGGCAGCTTATGTTTTTTCCCTGTGCTCTATTTGAAGCCTGTAGAGAGGGAAACTGCTGGACTGTTCATACAGCTATGGAGTGGTGGGAAAGGAAAGCAATTAAGAGGAAAAACTGCTGGCTACAATGTCAGCTCACCCAATGGCTCAGATGAGGGACAACAAACAGACAGATGGCATGGCTTCTTGGATGGAGGCTGAAGGCTGAAGCCTTTCCCCACTAAATACCTGCCTGCTGGGCTGAAAGCCACAGAGGCTCATCTAACTTCCCTGGCCTTTCCAGACCGTCCAATTGTGTGTGGAGATATGGGCTCATGCTGGATTTCAAAAAATTCATCCCATATATGCGCTGGCATTGCTAGTCCTGATGAAATTTCAGCCCATTTTTACAAGACAGAGAAACCGTAAGTGAGTCTTTTCCTGCCTGCTTGAAAACTGGTGTTTTCAATGGCACTTCTTCTGGTCCTGTTTCTGGCCCTACCAAGGACTGATGTCCTGTGGGCAGTTTCAATGCTGAAATCTTCGTTCTGATCCAAAATACCCATGGGATTTGGCTGATGTCTGGGAGTAACAATGGCAGTCTGGCAATGACAAGAGAAGACGGTAGCGGGGACATTTCAGAACCTCCAGGGACGAGAGGCACTGGCAATTCTGTGAAGTACCCAGATGATGGTGGTGATACACCCTTCCGGCAGTGCCCTCTCCCGTCTGCCCTGGAGCAGCTCTTATCTAGACCCGCGATCTTCCACCAGTGCGCCACACGAAGTTTTAAAACATACAGTCCCTGACTGTTTACTCAGAGGCACTGACTTCTTTTCCTTTTGACTGTCAAGTAAAAAAATGACAACAGCCAAAACAACAGCTGTCGAGTGCGAAGGAATCAAAACTGTACCTATTTACTGCAGAATTTTAGGAATTCGTTGATGCATGCCATGAGATGAAAAAGGTTAGCAATCCCTGATCTAGGCTATATCACCACTATGTGTCATGGTATCAGGATAGAGTAAGTCCTCACTGAACCTGTCAATAGGGTCTGTGACTTTATACGAAATGACGTATGATGAAACCAAATTTACCATAGGCTAATTGATGTAAACAACAGTTAAGTTCCTGTGGCATCTCATCAATGTTATCATGAAAAGATGTTGAGTGAAACATCTTTTCACTCCATAAATCTAGTAGGAAGTTATATATCTGTCTTGTGTGTAATTTACTTTATTCAATGGTAACTGAACAAAATAACTTAACCCTGATTTTTACATCACTAACAGGTTATTTAGCGTTGACTTCTGGCAGAGTTCCTCACCAGCAATGTGATTCCGTGGGTAGCAGAACGATCCTGGGCTGGGCTTGGACTGCTACATCCACATGGTGTTGTGCCTAACCCTGGGGCCGGGTTGTTTCCCCCAACACACAAAAACCTCTTCACAGATTGGCACAGACAATAAATGAGGCTCTGAAAGTAGGACCACTATCGCAGCAGCCGTTTAACACTGTTTCAGACCAAGGCCCCGACCACGACAGGGAAGTGTGTTCTATGCCGAGGTACACACCTCTTCCTCTGAACTGTCACTCGGGTCATTGTCTAGTGAGGCACTCAAGGAGGCCGCCTTGGGCTCCAGGTAGCAGAGGCACATAGCCAGAGGGAAGGAGAGAGTGAGGGCATATGGCACTGAGAAGGAGGCGGAGAGCAGAAAGAAAAAGATGAAGAGGAAACAGGGCACAAGGGAGGGTGAGCGGATTGGGAGATAATGCTGCAAGCTCTGGGGGAGGAGGTTGGTTTCAGACAGGTTGGGAAAAGAGAGGTACCCATCGTCATCTAGAAGAGAAGGGAAGGACTCAGGGAGCTGCAAGGAGAAGGAGAACAGGGTGGCTCCTTTGCCAGTTTGCTGTTTGTAGCTAAAAGCCACATCTTGGTCCCCTAGGTATGGCTTCCCTTTGCCCTCAGAGTCCACGGAGGGCTCTCCGTGCACGGGCACTGTGTCTTTAGAGGGCTCAGAAGCCGGAGGTTGGCGGTCATTCTCCTTACACCTCTTACGGAGCTCTGTGCGAGATGCAGGGGGACAATGGGCTGATGGGGGGGATAGGGGAGGACATGAGTCAGTGCCAAGCCTAGGCGACTGATGTGAAAGAGACAGAAAGAGACAGAAAGCAGCAAACAGAGGTGCAAAAGGACAAAAAGAAAACTGCAATTAGTTAATTTTCTTATGGGTATCAATATAAAATCGTAAAACAAGAATTTTAGCACTAGGGTTGTTCATGAATTTTAAAGTACGCAGGTGCATGCCAACATGACCACGAAAGGCTACCATTTCCCCATTAGACTGTCAAATCGAGGGTGGACTTTTTAAAAAAATCAGAATGAAGATATTTGTGGGCAATTTCAAAGTCTACATGTTTCACGTGATCAAAAAATCTTGGTAAGATGAACAACTCTAGAAAGTTTTAGGGTTTTGAGAGCAAATATAACTCCAATAACTTAAATCAAGACTTTCAATAACTTTTCCTGATCTGTAGCTAACAGACCTGTTACTGTCGTTGAGTTAGATTAAAAATAAATATGAATACAAATTTTGATTATGTAAAAAGAAATCTCTAGCATTACCTTTCCTTGGTTAGTCAGTTACATCCAAAACAGGCGGGTTTCCAAATAAAGAAGTTTCTGGCCCCACTCCTATTCGAAAAGTAGTTCCACTTAGGGAATTCAATAATTAGCATTTTAGGAAGTCTGACTCTATAAAGAATTGAGGTTCCTTTGAAAATTCTTATTTTGGCTCCTTTACCTATGATGTAAATGGAACTTAAACTCCAGTAAGTTATTTCAACAAGCTAACAAGCAAGAACAACATGTTTTCTGGTATTATGACTTACAAGTGTTTACTTTGTATTATTTGTGGCCCATGAATAATAGAAAGATACAATTTCCCAGCCTTCTGGTTTTTATTAGCAGAAAAATGGTATGTTTAACGCCCCTAGTTTGGTTTCTTAAGAGAATGATAAAGACAAGGCATCCCCACAAACCAGCCTGCCAGTGAGCTCAGGCTTCTGTGGGGATGGGAGGCTCTTTACATTCCCTCTGGCTGGGGGGCAGGCAGGTCTCAAGGACCATAGCCAGTTTCCTCTGCAGGTGGCAGAGGGCTGCTAGGCAAGGAGGGGAAGAAGGAAAGCAAGCAAGACGCCCAAAAGGACCTGGGCACAGCACTGAAGCTGCTACATCCAGGGAGTTCAAGTCGCGGTCACACAGTCCGAAGATAGACTTCTGCTGCTCTCTGTGATACTGTGTGTGCATTCACACATACTTGTGTTTTGCCTAATGACCAAATAGCATGTAAATTACCCAACCTGCCTTGTGGTTATCTAACTGACTTGGTAACTATAGAGACAAAGGGTAAGAAAAGGCACAAATAAAGTTATATCATGGATATATTAGAATTTAGAAGTGCCGCTTTAGTAGACAAGTATGTGTTTTCTTAACACTCACATGTGACATTACACATTGTGTTTTCAACAAGACCCTCCACAAATCTCATTGATCTGAGAATAATGTAGAGGCTATAAGCTGACTTCTGCAGGCAGACAATTGTTCCCGCAGTGGCAAAAGGCCGCCCAGTCACCTGGGGTGATCATAGGTAGGAAGCGTGCCTCCTATCAAAGGAAGAGGGGATCAGTTGTCCGATAATATTTTTGGTAACATATTTTCATTTTTTTAAAAAAATGAGTCCCCTTTATGTTACTTTTTGAAGATTTTTGAGAATAATAAAATTAAGGTATAATATCTCATTTTGATTATTAACGTGGTTTTTAAAAGACAGCTTTGCAAGGTGGAAAATGAAGACAGCCTTCCATCGTCTTAAGCCCTGGGTCCCAGCCACAGCCCTTCTAAAGCAACTTTGGGTCAAAGTGCTAACTTCTCAGAGGCTCAGACTACAAGAGTCTTAGTTTTCTTTGTCTTTCTTATATTCCCATGGCATAAATGGCACAAAGTGGCCATTGCTTTGTGCTATATCTTATGTAATCAAGTAAAGTGTGGCTGCCCAGATCTATTTTTGGAGCAAACTAAAAGTCATTTACTTTTATGTGCCACCTTAACCGTATTTACACATCCATGAGAATCATGTTGGCATGGGTGATTTCAAGAAATCACGAAGAGCATTTGCTATGCAGGTATCTTATCTCCTTTGCATGTCCCATTTAAAACTTGCCTTGACTTAACTGAAAGGAAGAGTATATAAAAACAAAATTCAGAACAAAGCACATTTTAACAGCGCAAGTGATCCTAATATTTTTGCCATCATTTCCTATCCTGTTTTTATTTTCCTGTTTGGCAAATAATTTTAACCTAAAAAAAAATGATGGACTGGGTCATTTGGAATATCCCAATGTAACTACAACAACATTTGTTATATACCTTTTAGCTGTCGCTGTTAAATTCTTGTCAAAAGAGTTATTTTTCTATAGAGTCCCAGATGGTGAGTCCTTGCATATAAATCTATATTTGAAGAATCCATGTGGAAAAGAACATTTTGAATCCGATTTATGCAGGTTTTAGCCCAGCCTGTAAGTTATACAGCATTTTTATTCTGCTATTACCTTTCATTCTGTACTGTATACATTGCAGGAGCCACTCTTTTGCCATTAGTATCATATATAAACCTCCTAATGTTTTCTGACTTTTAGGGAGTGGCTTTGCTACAGACAAAAACTGGTAACCAGAAATATGTCGTCTACATGCCTTTGTGCTGGGTCATCAAAAATAAACATAATATTTAAAAATAAATTGAATTTGGGGTGAAATAAAGTTATCACATTTAATGAAAAAAACACCTTGGGGAAATTGCTGCCAAATTCACTTTCCATCTTCCCTTGCAAACTTCTGCCTTAATATCGCTTTCCAAAACATGCCCACTTGCTACTTTGATGATTAAATTGTAATCATCAAAGAGAGGAAACACTATATAAATATACAAACTATGGTCACTCAATTACTTGCAGTCAGAAGAACAGCAATGCCATTATACTGTATATCTAGAAAAATATACAGCGCTTGGGTAGGAGAATGGGGCCAGGAACAAAGAAAACAGCTTTAGTGATAATTGCAATGCGAGTTCAAACAGAAAAGCATAATATACTATTAAATATATTTTTAAAAAGTATAGACAGGACAGTTGTTGAAAGTCTTACATAGCACATCAGTTGTTAAAGATGCTCAAAAAGTTGAGAAGAGGAATCTTTCAAAGGAAAGATGTTGACAGAGGAAATAATTTAAAAATTGACAATAGGAATTTGACTGATGCTGAAATATGAACTAACCTAAATCTTAACACATTCCTGGTTTATAGTCTCAGCATTATTTAGCAGTTCTCAAAAGTGTGAGCAAGTGCCAGGAGGCAGGCTGGGAGATGTACCTTTCCCTCGTGCCGTATCGCTGCGACAGGGGCGGCTCCTTCCGCCTTTTTCCGCCTGTCCTCCTCCTCGTCACGTTCCTCTTCGGCCTTTTTCTCTGGAGTCACAGTGGTGATCAAGTTGGTCTGAGAGATGCCCTTTGTTGTGGCGTACTGGCCAGTACCAACCTCTGCAGCAGACACAGAATCCTTCATGTATATTTCATGGTTTTCATTCACTGATGCTAAAAGCGAATACAATCGAAGAAATAAAGTCGGAAATAGTTAAGTCAGAAGACAAATAAATACAATCAACTGTCCCATTATGAAAAAAATGACCCCTATAAAATATCAGATTTGTCCTCAAAAGACAAGACAGTGCTGCAGGTACCTTCTCTAAGCTACCATAGACTCAACTTTCTATGTCATCTACACTAGATTTTTAAAATGATTTAAATGCTCATCTCTTGAAGCCACCAAAACAGTTTTCATCCATTCTCAAGCTGTATGGTGAGGGTGAGTGTCAGGGTGGATATGAGCACAAGGATGGCAGGCTGAACTGCTACCAAGCCTATCACTCCAGAGTAACTGGTTGGGCACGGGTCCCAGGCACTTAGTGGCAGGTTCCACAACTAATAACATTTTCAGTAGACAATTGATCTCATACATTTGACTTTGAACATATCTTTGGAAGTGCCATTCACCAATGGGCACTGAAATTTGTTTAAAAACTTATTATTAATAACAGCTGAAATGTCTCCTACAATGTACAAGCTACAAGGGTTACAATGAAAATTAACCATCTTGACAGAGATTATAAAATTCAGATGGCAACTCCAGTAACTGAAGTGCAGAGATGTTTTAATTTCTATTGCACTTTAAAAAATATGCACAGATATCTACCAAGATATGCATAAGTTCATTTATCACTAATATTTGGGGAAAACAAGACAAATGTTGCTAATGAAACTCATGCAAAGACAAAGCATGCAAACCTAAGAGACAGAAGCTGCAGCCATTCATCCCAGCTAAAATGTCTTAGTGAAAGAGATGCTTGCTTCAGTTAATTTTTTAAAATTTGAAACTCATTATTTTGTTTTAGATATCATAATATTTACTGAAACTTACAAATGCTGCTTTTCAAATACACACAGTAGCTAATCACAGTCAAAATATAATCTGCTTTCATATTCATATAAATGTAAGAAAATATTCTGACATTTTTTAATAGTAAATCATTTCATTAAAATATTTTCACTAAGATATTTTATGTCTTGTTATAGTGATGAAAAAAGCTCATATAAGACAGCTTCCTAAAGGCCCACTTAGGCCATTCAAAAAAAGATGCAAGCTTGCAAACAGCAGTTTATGTGCCAACATGCAGTCATGGCCCCGGCGCAGCAGCATGGAAAACGCTAGAATTGGCAGGACCCCGAAGAGTGAGAGACAAGACATACTAACATCACTTTTGGGCAGGGAGGAAGAGACAGCATGATATTAGTACATTTATTTCACAATTGTCTTCTGTCTTCTCAGCAATCATTATCACACAAAAGGTCATGAGGAAAACAACATTCACAACACATGTGCTCCCTTGGGTACACCTCACTGAACAAAGTGGATGGCATTCAGGGAAAAAGGTGTGATTCTACAAAAGTGCCTCCAACACTGACTCAGAGAATACACAAATAATTTACAGAGATTCTCTAAAGGAGAAAGAAGAGTGAGACAGTCCTGAAAGAAAAACTTCAATGTTAACATGGATCTAGGAGTATCTTGAGCCAACTTGGAGAGTCCTAGTACACATTTCATTACAAACGTATGGTTCTAAATTAGATATTCTGAAAACGGGAAACTCTAGGATGATACAGAATGGTAATAATTTCCTAGGCCACCTCACAAAAGCCTATAAAGGATGATTATTAATATAAATATCTAGATAATTATAATTACATCTGTAACAAGAGTGCTTTGACGTATGTCTTAATCAGTCTTTGCGACAATGCTGTCAGAGGTGGCCTTACTCCCATTCCAAGGACGATGAGTCCCACCAGACAGGAAGAGCTTAAATCATTCACCACCTACCACGCAGATAGAGGAACTGGACCTCAGCCTGGATTTATGTATGCCAGGTGAGCGTTCTTTCCACTTCACTAGTAATGTATGTAGCATAGCACTAATAACACAACTTTCACTTATTCTATAAATAGTTTATAACGTCATCAATTAAGAAAATACAGTCTTTTTAATCGGGGGACTCGGAGTCTGTCACCCCACCAACCACACCAGGGTATCAAGAACTATGGTGAACAGTGGCAGAAAGGTGAGGAGGAGGGTGATCCCAGGCACCCGTTAACATTAACTTATTTTTATTTATGTTTTTGTTTACTATTAAAACCGTACACACATGCCAGAAACTTCTAATTCTTTATATGCACAGAATAGGTCTTCCATAAAATGACTAACTTCCAGGTGCTCTGAATTAGAGGACGAGGCCCGGCCATGGCTCAGGCTCTAAGTTATTAGTCCAGCTGCCATGTCTTGTAGCAGAAAGCACGTCTGCATGTAACTACAGAATCAATACAAAACTGTACCACAAACCAAAACCAACTGAAAACTCGTAATTATGCCATTCTTAAAACATGTTATTTAAGTGATTCTCTCCCCGTTTAACTTACACATTTGACTTAACAGTAAGGAACATTCACATGGCAATGTTCTCCCAGTCCATCTGGTGCAGTAATTAATATTAACCAGAGAATTGAACTTAGAGCCCTTCGCTTTGTTATTTGAATGTCATCCTTTCCATAAGCTATTACTCACCAACTGATAAGAGTCACATTGTATTCATAAAATATTTTAGCAACAGGGATAAATTTAACTTACAGTTTTCTTTCTCAAACAGATCTCTAAAGCAAACCTGACTATATTTAAGATATGTTGGCAAGGGAGTCAGATTACTTATAGAGTATATGACTGCAATATTCAAAATGAAAGAATCTCTCCAAATTCAGGGCACCAGCTTAAGAAAGTTATGCTCTTCATCTCCTAAGTACCATTCTTTTATGTAATTTTATATAAATCCATAGTGATAGACATTAGACTCACGAAGGTACTTTCTTTTTGAGGATGTGGAGTTAAAACTTGCCATTCAGCCACAGACCAACAAGTGCTTTCCACTTCATACTATACAAGAGGATCTGTGTTTATTGAAAGCTCATGATGGTTTCATCCTATTAGGTGGCCACAAAGATGATCAAGGACCCAATGTAATGCCTACCTCCATCCAAGCTGCGAGACATGGTATAACGTTTACTTGATGAGCGTTCAAAGTAAGGGGCTGGACGATCTATCAATGCGCTGGCTCTTCTTGTTTGGGCTTGCGTTCTACCGCTATAACGAAACTTGGAACCCAAGGTAAGGAATTTCTTTGGAGGTGCTTCTGGTAACAACAATCTAAAGACATTAGAGAAAAAAAACACCAGAAAAGAAATTAAGTCAGACTTTTAAAATGTTAACTTTTTACTCTGTTCTGAAAGGTAAAGTGCTTTGTGTACTAAAGGATTAATGCCAAACATGCAATTAAATAAATCTGATTTTAAAAGAAAAAAATAACTCACACAGTACACATCAACTAGGGATGTTACAGAGACACTATGTGCAAAACGGGTTGGGTCGGACTAGTGAACCTTCGCATCCCATGTAGCTGGGAAGTCTGTGGTTCTATAAACGCGAGGAGCAATCAGCTAGGTGAGAGTAGTGAAGAGCAGTGATAACTTGTATCATGCAGACACAAACCTGATGACTCTAGCAAATCCAGGGCACTGAGAAATTATTAACATAGTAAGAAATGGACTGGACAATTAAAGTGGACATCCTATAAAAATAATATAAAAGACACTACAAATAATAAAGAAAGAGGATATGGGGCAGACAGATATAGAATAAATTTGGGAAAATCCTTCTAATTTAGTCAGAAGTTCTTTTAGGATTTCTTATGAAGTAACCTGGCTTCAACAAACTTGAAGAAACAGAAAAGATATGCTTCTACATTCTTCTCCCCGATGATCTTTTTTTGGTATATGTGATTCCAGTCATTCTAATTTTTTCTTAGGAAAAAAGCAAAATGATTTCTACCTACCTGAAAAATGTATGGTGTTCAACGCATACTTTCCATAAACGCTTGGCAGCTCTATGGTTTGGCAGTTTAAACCCAATGGTACTTTCAAACTGTTCAAACTAAATTTAAAAAACATTGAAGAATGGAATCAAGTTTAAAACCATAAATAACAGAAGAGCAAATAATTTAAAAATCATAATGCCACCCACATTTTTTTCTTTACTCACTAAGTCAGTTACTATATGCATAATTCATATTACACATGCTCATTCATTAAAAGGAAAAAAATCCCCTTATGTCTATCTTCTTAAAATGCTACAGGTATAGACAACTATATTACACATATAGTAAATGTTTTATGTACCATTTGGATTTTATAAAAACTAAATGCAAGAAAGGATATTTGGATTCCTTCCAGAGACCAAATTGTCCTGATCTCATTTTTAGGCCTAATTTTCACGGTTTCTCCATGACATTATGACTTTAAACCGAAGATACAGAAATGAACAAAAGGTTTATAGTCTATAGTATTCTTGAGATGACATTTTCTCCTAATATCTGGTCTGGAAATATGCTTCTATCCTAGGTATTTGGAACTTGGTATCAGGTATTGCTGAAATTATTTATTCATTATAATATGGATTATCATGTAAAATGCTGACATTTCTTGATCAGAGAATGGGAGAACACATCTTCATATTTCTTAGCATATATAGCTCAGGTGATACTCTATCAGTCATTTGATTTTGCAAAGTGAAATACCTGATTTCCCGAGTAATTATTTTATTATTGCAGATACTCATTTTTTTATTTTCTGAGGCCAGTATGCATCGGCCACCAGAGGGCAATCATCTTAAACAGTAAAGGGTTTCCAAAAGAGCACAAAGCCACCTGACTACGGATTACTCATGCACTCAATAGCAAAAGTAATTTATGTGGCCAAGAACTAAGGAGAGGGGTCCTCTGCATAGCATGTTAAGATATACTTATGCTTGGCCTTTATTTCTTGTTTGTTTAGAGGGACTGGGCAGGGGGAAGACTGGGAAATACATCACAGGTTGCTCTAACTGCAGTTGCCTTTCCTAATTTCTTATTTACCCTGGATGTCCCTGCGCAGTGGTGGTCATGAAAACCACTGCTCTCTAAGTGACGCAACTGACAAGCCTGAGTACTATGGGTCTTAACTAAACCATCCTCACTTATTCATCCTGCATCTAATATGTATCATATATTATGCAAAGGCCAGGGGTTTAAAAAAGTTAACTTGTTGTGCAAGAAGCTGGGATATTTCCCCAAGGATAATAGAGGCCCCTGCACTTTTTAAATGTTTATTTAGCTCTCTGTGCTTTGTACCCATTGCCTGCAACTTCTTCAAAGCCTTCAGGCCACCAACAATTTCTCCTTACTCATTCTTCTCAGCCTATAAATATGATTGTAAAAAAAAAAAAAAAAAAAGGAAGGAAACAACTTTCTTTTGAGTCTGCTTTTGCCTGAGCCAGAACCTTCTCACTCCTCACTGTTAAAGGTCATGAATGAGCAGCCTTGGCTACTCCACTCCTTACCTCACTGCAACCTGCCAGGTGCTCTTAACTCCTTCCTGAGCTCTTAAATGCCACAACAGGATCTTATCAATTCCAATGCACTTTTCTTAGTTCTTACCTGTGCCTCCTCTGTTAACATTTGGCACCTGGCAATCCTGGTTAAACATGTCCCCTGAATCTCATCTCCTTGTCATCTGTGACTGTTTTTGTCCCCTTTTTTCTTTTTCTGGCTGTTATTATTAATCTCCATGTTCCTCTTCTGTCTAATTTCTCTCTCAAAAAGTGGTCTCACCCAGAGTTTTTGTTATAGGGTCTTTTTTTCCCTTTAACTTCTCTTGTTCTTTGGGTAATTTATTTGACATCTAAGGCCTTGAATAAAAGGTATGCAACTGATGACTCTGTTCAAGTTCTAGAGTTCTTACCGTGCAAGAATCACCCCCTGAAAATCTGTCCCAAAGGAATTTCAGTCTTTTTTTTCCCCCTGAAATTTGCCCCGTTTTGCTCTCTTGTCTAACAATGCTATCTCCATTGTCTTCTCTAGTGCAAACTGAAAACCTCTTATTATCCTGGACTCCCTCCTCTTTTTACCCTTCCCCAGCCTGTCTCCGATACCTGCTGTTCTGCCTCTGTCATCTGTCATGTCTCAAGTTTGCCCCTTTCATTCTATTCCCAGAGCCTCTGCTCCAGTTTAGGTCTTATCACATCACATTACTAAGTAGCTGAATTTCATTAAGAAATCCATCATTTTAAAGTGTTCATCTACTTACGTCACATCCTAATTTAAAATCTTCCCCGAGTCACTCTTGTCTCCTGATGTATTTCTCCAATTTTCCCCGCGGGCCTCTCACAACTACGCTCTTCCCATGTCTGTGGACTATTCTCTCACTGTACCTAAGTGTGTGAGTCTGTTTCTCAGCTAAACACCAAGTCCCTTTAAGGACAGGAACAAGGTTCATATTTATCTTCCTATTTCCAATGCCCAACATGATGCCTAATAAATAAATTCTTGCTTAATAAACGTTTAATAGATACAAATGAATATATATCAGTAATAAGTTTAACATGCAGTCTTTAGAAAATATTTTTTAAATTACAGCAATTTCAGGTTTTTACATGAAAAGCTTACAGATCATTTCCGTTTTCATTGATAAGTACAACTTTGTGTTTACATTAAACATGACAGCTTGCTTTGCAGTCTGATATTCTAATTGTACTTTCCACCAATGGGTAGGTTGATTTTGAATACAGGAGATAATTCCATATTATGCCAGAAAATGTTCAGAGACATAAATGAGCTGCAATCTTAGAGCTTCGTCTCCATTGTATTAACCATGCTGATTAGAAATGGAGATATTTATTAATTATCTATTAAGCAGATAATGTAGATATTTGTTACCTATCATGTACAAATTGCTAAGGAGGATAAGTAAGTCAGTCATAGATGCTGTTGCCCAAGGAATAAGGATTCGTTTTGACTTTTTCATTAACCTCTGATTTTAAAAAAAGGTGAAAATATATTAGGTTGTGGAACATTTACATAATTTACACTCTGTGCCCCTTATTCTAATCTTTCTTGTACCTTGATGCACATTATCTCTAAGCTATTCACTTTAGGATGCTATCAGATTTGGAGGACAGAGAGAGAGAGAGGGCAGGACATAACAATAGAATAGGGAGGAAGAAATCTATCCTTTATTCACAAAGAGGTTCAATGACTAAGATTTTCTTTTATAACACAGCTTGAAATATACAAAACATTCATGAACCTGGATTTCACATTAAAATATGTAAAAACAACCTTTTCAATTAATGTGTGCTGTGGGGAGAATTGAAATAAAATAATAAAAAAGAATATTTTATTTCTTCCTGTTTATTGGACAAATGTACAATAAATTCTCTTAGGCATTTACGTATATCCCACCATGTCATGAGATCCTGAGAACTTGTGAGCAGGTAATTTAAATTTTTGTTTGTTAACAGCTACCTTTTCCTCAATGTACATGTAAATTTGGGTATACTTACCTCTCCAGGGCGGATCTTAATGTAAAAGTTGTTTCGTTTGTATGAAATTTTTAGAACCTTAGGCCAGGCAAATCTATTTATCCGCAGTCGGTCACGATATATCAACAGTCCACTTGCACAAACTCCTAACATAATTTCAACTCCTTCAGAATCCTGGAAAATAGCAGCAAGGAATAAAGGATCAGGATTTCATTTATTTCTCACTTACTTCCACTTACAGCTGGCTGGGTACAGTATTTACCCATTTACATGTCAGAGCCCGTAAGTGACTACGGTAGCACTAATTTAAATAAGAAAAATATGGCAGCCATTTAAAAAAGCATCACCACTAAATAACAGCCTTTTAATGAAGATATTTATCACTCCAGAGATTTGTTAAGAGTAAAATCTGCTCACCCAGGTATCTTAGACGTACGACAGAAACACTGCAAGTAGAGAGTGACAACCAGATGAAAGGCGTCAATAGCAGAAATGACAGCCGCAGTTCTCAGATATGGGTGCCATGCTGTTCTAACCACTTTATGGATAGTAACTCTTTTAATATTCACCAGGATAGTCTTACATAGTTCCTATTATTATTTCCATTTTACAGATGCAGAAACTGAGGTATGGAGAGGTTACGTATCTGTCCCAGGGGAACGTGGGCAGCCTGGCTCCAGAGGCAGCACTCTTGACTAATACAAATACTAAGGGAGGGGCCCTATCTTTTCTCATGAGTGTTTTAAAGTTTGTTACTTTAAAAAGAGATTCAATCTCTTCTATTCCGTGACTGTCAGAATAATATTTAAATATAAAAGTTTTTCTTCCTAAAATATGAACTGCACTTCCCCAAAAGGCCCCCAACACACACACTGCCCAGTGGTGATCACCCTTAACAGTATGATTCACACGTAGGTACATTTTGCATGTTTGTATAGTTTAGCCTTTTATAACAAAAGTGACATCATGCTACATTTGCAATTTGTTTTGTTATTTGCATATTTTACATTCAGGTCATTTCCTAGGGATGTGTGATGTCCAGAGGTCCCAGAGGTCATCAGAGATGTTATATCGAGTTCAGGAGACATACCATGTATAGTCTACACACTCTAAATGTTGTATTCAGGTGAAATCAGGATAAAATGAACACCTATTGTGGCCTCAAGTGGGGTAGAAACAAGTGACAAAGGCAGGAATGTGTGTGAGGCACAGCCTCCATCCTGCTCACTGGTTGTTGGAAGCAGGACTTACAACGGAGGCAAAGCTGCCTTGCCATTAAGCAGCAGGGCTGTCCCCAGCTTTGAGTCACTGCAGCACCAGCGAAGAGGGGAGAGGAAAATGGTGGAATCCAAATGGGAGATACTGACTCATCCATATTGTGGGAATTTACTTCTAATTTCTGTCGGTGCAAGGTACAAAGTGAACATTCCAGAATCAAAAATAAATACTTTGGTCGATCTCTGGGAAATATATAAGTTTATAGTTGGTTCAAAATGAAATAATTTACCTTTGAAACATTTTCACTCCATTAGATATGAAATTACAGGAGTGAAAATGCTTGATGGAAGCATATTCCAACATAATAAAATCTGAAGAGAACTCTAAGGCCAGAAACTGCCCACCACTTACCCAGGGCTTTAATCTGACAGAGCATTTAAAGAGCTATAACCTGATGCTGACAAGTAGCTGGCATTACTGATCCTTTAGAACCAGCCGATCTGCTCCCAAGGCAGTTCAGGGGTGACCACCTCATGCCATGAGCAGAAATGCCGTCACGCTCTCTGAGTAACTGCTCTTTGATTCACTTTCTTTTTGATAAAGAACATAAAGCTTAGAAAATATGCCTTTGAGTGAAAGAGGGAAAGAACATTTAAAATATTTTTCATTATTTTATCTATTTTCAATCACAAGTGAAGGGAATCTTCATGGGCAAGATCATTAGGAAGGCTCCTTTGCTTCTTTCCTGGTCTCCTTGAACCCGCCAACGTGAACTTCTCTGCAGCCCTGTATCGTTCTGTTGTATCCCGCACACCTTCAGCAAACAGTACTGCAATGAACGCCCACCGATATTCCTTTTCCTCAGGGCTGTAGCTGGTTTAGAACAGGAGCTCTGTTTAATCTCTGTAACCACAGGATGAAGACAGTGCCTACCTGGCATGTGTTAAGCCATTACATGTTTGGCAAATGAAGAAAGAAAATATCGGGCAAGTGGGTATTAAACTGGATGATGGTCTCCATCAATCACAAAGCAACAACAACAGGAGTAAAATGATACTTTTTTTCCCTCAAGTTTTTGGCCACAGTCCACAGAATTGAGGTTAGTTTGATAAATCTTTTGTGTTCAAAGCTCTATCAGCAAGCAGCCTTTCTAGGGAACATGTGTGCTTCCCTACCAATGAACACATTTAATGCTCCCTGTAGCAGGGGCTACTGAAGGCAGACCTGGGTACTCTCAGTCTCTCGTATTTAAAATAAATGGGCACGCGATTCCCTCAATTTAAAAAACAATGTTTAAACTTTGCTGTCTTTCATTATCATTTGGTCCATTGGATATCCAATATGAATTTAGATCTAAATTTTAGAATGTTATATGAAATAAATAACTCTCACAGAGCCTATTCGGACTGACATTAGATGATAAACAAGCAGGGACAGTCTTCCCAAGGGGGAAAAAAGAAGCACTTAGAACAGGTTTTCCAAAACAAGGGACCTTCATCTAATATGGGTATTTATGCTTTATATAGAGCTGTGGAGTTCAAGATTGAAATTCCGAATTTCTAAGTAGGTCTTAAAGCCTAATTTTATACCATGTCTTTTATACCATGTTATGACCGGAAATTAGCTATAATTTAATTCAGTAAATTTCCTTCTTAAAATGATGAAGTGTGGATGCATGAGAAAAGGAGTCCATAACTGAATCATAGCTGAATCATTTATTATACTTAATATTCAGATGAAATTCCTATAGCAGGCTATATTTGCACTTCCTTAATTTTCTTTTTTTAATTGGCATAATTTCAAATCATATTATTGCAGCTATCTATTTTAACTCAGTAGCTATAGCAATGTTAAGTGATTTTATTTTCACTGATGGAAACACATACATCCTGAGTTCCACTTCCCTAAAAGCATGCCCTAATCTTTCATTTATTTATTTTTCCTGGGCAGTAAGTGAATCATCATGTGTAATGTAATTCAAAAACAGCTTTCAATTCACTCAAATGTTCAGGCTACCTTTATTTCCTTCTTGTTTCCTTATCTTTTAGTCACCTAAGAAAAAACTCCGAGAGAAAATCTTACTAGTGTGTGCCTTTATTTTCCTTTTAAATTCTCATCCTGTCTTATACCTGGCATAAAATATAAAACAACTTTATTCTCTGATTGCAAAATAAGTGAAAAAATATAATAATAAACTTGCAAATTAATACAGCTACACCTGCTGTTCTAATTACACACAAATATCAAAGAGCCTGGCACAATGCACCAGCCCATCCCTGGGATAAGCCCCAGCCAAGTCTCTGGGATTATGCTAGTTAGTGCTCAGGCCTTCAGCCCTTAGAAGTGCTCATCCTGTGTGATGTACAAAATGATCCACAGACAGAACCAATCAGACCTGCATTCACATAATGGTCACCATTTTCTAGTCCAAATCCACTGAGGATTAGTCTCTCCCCAAACACCATCCAGGGAGCAGCCCCATATGTAGCATCAACAGACCCTACAGATCATAGATTTCCCTTTCATGGGACCTCAGGGCTGTTGAGTTGTTTGTCTGCCCAGAGCCAGCTAAACCTCTCTTCATTTCTTGACCGCCAACTTGACTATGTAAGATACTTGCTTGCCTAGAAGCTTGTTAAATGCACATTCTTATGAGTCCAAGACCATGAAATTGGTGTATTGGCAGTAAAGGCACATTCCCATAACCGGAGCAATGCTACCTTATCAGCCCATATCAGAAGAAAAGGCCCTTGAACTGCAAACAGTGATCTTTTAACACTGCTGATGTGATAGAATCTATCCTTAAGATCCTAACAAATTTCTCATGTTTTGATGATATTACTTTTCATAAAAGCTTGCCTGTACATCCACAATATGTTATTTATTTATTTATTTTAATCCTCCCTGGAGGATAGGTTCACTGATTTTAGAAAGGGTGGGAAAGAGAGAGAGAGAGAGAGAGAGAAATGGATGTGAAAGAGAAACATCGATAGATTGCCTCTGGTATGCGCCCGGACCAGGGATCAAACCTACAGCCCAGGTATGTGCCCGTACTAGGAATCAAACCCGCAACCTTTTGGTACATGGACAACACTCCAATCAACTCTGTCACCCAGCCAGGGCCACAGTGCTTTATTCATAGTTGTTCAAATAAAAGACTAATAGTCTATACACTCCTTTTCTCACTTCTGAAAAATACGTAGATTCTAGAAAAAGCATGACATGGAGTAAAAGCTGCTCTATGCATCATTACAACCTTTACCCTCGGATAGTCTAATTCCAACTTTTTCCTCACAAGACACCATAGCCAAGACACTTGAACATTTCACCAATCATCATTCAACCAGGCAATCCTTAGCTTGGGTGGTTAATGTAAGCTGAACTTCAAAACTAACAATGTTATTTCAAAGTACTGGTTATTGATCAGAATACCTCACCTTTAGAGATGGGGCTAAATTTCACATGAATTTACTGGGTGCCTGGTGGGTAACCAGAACAGGGCCATAAGCAGTACTTCACATATAACAGATGTGATCATTGGGTCTTGGACAATCAGCCAAGTTTAGGCAGGCAGGCAGGCAGGCAGAGAGGAGCAGGACAGTGCAGACAAACTGAGCACTTTCAGGCACAAGGCAGAAACAGGGTTTGACAGGAACAAAGGGCATGTTACAGTACAAAGTGGGAGATACAACTGAGACAGGGAAGGCAGGGTGAGCTCAGAGCTTACTAAGTTGAGATAAATTTCAAACTGAATTAACAGGCAATCACAGGCCCTGCCTACGGACAACTTTCAGTTGCCTGAGACCACGAATCATGCAGAACCAACCCCTCAGTAAAATATCAGACAGTTAAATTTGCTTTATCTTTGTGCAAGCCTTAAAAGTAAAACACAGATTTGAATTCCCAAAGTTCTGGTTTACACATACTGAAGTAAAAATCAGCAGCTTTTAGCAGTAACTGTACTGAATTAAATAAAATTAAAATAAAAGTTTGGGATTTAAACAATGCATACTGTCCTGACCAGTGTCGCTCAGTTGATTGGGCATCATTCTGCAAAGATTCCTGGTAAGGTCACATGCCTGGGTTGCAAGTTCAGACCCCCAGTTAGGGCGCATGTAAGAGGCAACTGATCAATTTTCCTCTCTCACACCGACGTTTCTCTTCCTCTCTTTCTCCCTCCATTTCCCCTCTCTAAAAATAAATACATAAAATAAAAAAAAAAAGCATACCTTGGCATGATGTAAATCTACCCCATACATGGATAGTTTTTTGGCATTTTCCAAGAAATGCATCTCGGCTTCTGCTGGCGTCATTCCTCTGATAAGAAAAAAAAAATGTTACAATGCTGCTTTTCTTTCACCTGGCCAGGCTGTACTATTTTGTACTTAGCTCCCTTGCTGTCTAATAAGCAAGCCCCCATAGTAGCCCCAGCAGATCTGGGCTCTGAGGGAAGAAAAATAATAAGGTGGCTTTTAAAAAGAAAACTTTATAAATTGGTATCTAAGTAAGAACCTAACTGTCCCAGAACTGTACCCAGTGCAGAACCCTGCTCTGCCAAAGTACCATCCATAATGCACTGAAATCAGTCCTGGGAAAAGTAGGTAGTGAAAGCGATGCTCGCTCATCAAGGCACAACTGAAATGGACTGTTCTCAGGGTTTCTTCCACTAACCTGTGACTCTTGTGCAGCTCGATCACTTTATCTTCAAGTTCTTTAGTGTGATTTGGAGCAAAGCGGAACTCACTAATGTAATCATTCCCGCATTCATCTGGGTCATAGTCGCCAAGTTCTGACTGGACAGTGTAGGAACCCAAGAGGGCAAGAGTGACAAAGGAGCAGGGCAGCCTTCCGGACACGATGTCATCTCGCAGTTGTAAGCAGAGGTAGTACCTTCCAGTAGCCAAAAGGACAAAGCAAAAAGCCAGCGTTGGGATACAGAAAAAGGAGACGACTCAGGACATAGGGTTTGGTAAGGAATTTCCCCCCACTGAATAACCTCGAGGACAAACTTTCTAGCTTCTGTATTTTGATCTAGATATAAGGGGAAAAAATACTTGGCCACAAAATACAATATTTAAGGGCATCTAAAGGCAAGTCAATGTTCATAATAAAACAGGGTTTTATTAATAAAGCACAGAGTTTAAAAAAACCCTTAAGACATACTCTTTAACATCCTTTAAAATAATTTTTATAGTCAAATGGCTAGTCCCCTAGATGCTCCCTGAAATCTTTGGTTGGGATTATTATAATATAAAAATGGTGCTCTTAAATATAATTATTAAGTTCCAACTAGGCTTAAGGAAGTCTCGTTTTGATATCTACTAAAGGTCTTGCCATATGACCAAGACAAATTTCAGGTAACTCAACAGCTACGCCATCACAAACTCTGCTCTCAATTTCCTGCATTCCTGGAGAGAGAGCCTCTTGATAATAATGAGTGATTTCTGTTTCAACTTCTCATTTTTTAAAGATAACTTTCTAGAATCCAAATGATATGAAGACTAATTGAAAAATTACTACTGTAAGATCTCAGAATCTTGTTACTGTAAGTAAACAGTTTTAAATTTGGGAACTATAAAACATTTTCCATATAATTCTGCCAAGATAACATAAAAATATTTCCATTAATAGCTGACATATCCTTTGTTATTTGGTTTTAAGTTTACAGATATAATACTAATTGTGGAATATTCCAAGGTAAGTGTTGACATTAGTAAGTTTTAATACCTTTCATGGCCCAGCATATGGGTATAATAATAAAACACACATTGTACCTTTCATATTAGAAATTAACTGTTAATCTGTTGAAGCTGAAGACTATGAAAAAGTGGTAAGGTTCCCTCTAAATATGACTTTAAGCTAATGATATAAGCAAACTACGTGTAATCGAGATAGAAAAATTTCTAATTACTTTACAGGCTCTGCAAACACTACACAAATAGATAGAAATCAACCAAGCACTAAATTTCAAATCCAGGTATAGATAGCCTCTATAATTACAAATTAGCCACAAGGAAATAATTCTTCCATATTATTAAAAAGTATTCTTAAATAAGGAATTATAAATTTTCTAATTTAATGCAAGCATAGAAAAATACTCTGGATCTAGTTTGTACCCTTCTCCTAAAATGCCTGTTAAAATTATTTTTAATCACTACAAGAGACTGAAGCTTTTTGAGTAATTTACCTTTTATGAAAAGCCCTCCCAGGATGTGAGGCTTATACAGAAAACGCAGCACACACTGCACAAGATCGCTCTGGCTGGCTATCAACATACCACCAAACACAGCAAGAGCCAGGGATTCCACAGCAGAATGCAGAGAAGCCGAGGACACATCACGACGTAGGACAGTTGCGTAAAGGGACACCTTCTCGCAGTCAAAGTTACCATGCCAGGATATTTTTGTTGGATCCTTTTTTTAAAAAATGTCTTCTCTTGTGAAAATGAATTACTTGTTTCCCTTGTAGGTCATGGAAAGTAAATTCTTAAGTGTACATGTGTTTATGTTGTATCTGTATGTGTATATGTGTGCATGCATGTGCCGTTTTTTTTTTTTAAAGAGCGGTCAAGTACCAGAATGGTTATGTAAAAGGCATAAACATCCAAAGACATTTTTTACTCTCAGTTTTAAAGCATGGGCACTAAGAATGGCTATGTCACTTAAGGCTGACTCCCACCCAATTTGGCTGTGGCAGTGTCTCAGTTCTGTATGTCCTCCCACCAGGGCCAGGCAGAGGGAAGTATCAGCTTAGCACCAAAGATTCAACTACAAACAGATACGATTTGGCAAATCTTCCAATTGGGTGTTTGCTCTCACTGCGTTGCCTTTTATTTACCATTTTAGCGTGGATAATTATAAGGTTACTAAATGTAAGCATGCTCTTCTCTGGATAATTTAAGAGAAGCATAACTCCCAAGATGCCTGCCTTTTCAGAGCCAACTTTCAAATACCTGGTGATATCTTCAGACAGCTGAGAGGGGTCTGGGGGGTAAAATTTCACATTAAATGAAAAATGCCAAGCACCACCTGCAGAGATGAGAAAAAAAATTAGAATAAAACCTTAGGAAAATCCCTTTATACTTATGATAACTAGAACTACCAAAACTCTAAGTTCTAACACCCAAGCAAATTTTGATTATCCATGGAAAACAGGGACGTTTCTGTTCAATGAAATCCACAGATAAGTCCAAAACTTCACCTAGTTTCTAATCTTCTCACCAATCAAATCCTTTACTGAACTTCTAACTAGGGATAAAATTGACTAAACCTCCTCTCTTTCCCAGGGACAAAGGTACACCTTTGGAAGAGGGGGGCAAAAAGTGAGCAATATGGATAATCCTCAATCAGACAAGTCCGGAATTGACTAGACGTCCTGCTATGAAGTTCTGGATAGTTCACATACCAACATTACAGACATAATCCCATTTCCTTTGTTGTTTTTGCTTTGTTATTACAGGTCAAATCCCATTATAACACGTGTCAAGGGACTCCTCAGGATATTTTTATTTTATGGGGAAGGTTTGTTGTAGTGAATATTTAAGGGACCTGCTCTATGGCTGCAGAAATTCTTATTCAGGGAAATTTTTTATTAAAAAGATACTTGAATGTATTTGTTGTGAATCATCAATTGCCACACCTCCTTCTTAGCCCATGAACTGAACGGGTCCTCTTTACGTGCTGCCATTCTTTATCCCGCAGCACCTACGTCCGGCCTCTCCAGAGGGCAGCTTCCAGGCGCCTACTCCTCTGTATCGTCCGCACGTATAGTCGAAACATCATTAAGGCTTACTGAGCTCTCCATTTCCTCGTATTACATCTAATCATTATGGTGTATCATTATAAACATGAAAAAACCACCTCTTCTTCTTTTCTACATTTCATCTCTATGTGGTCACTCCTTTAACTTATTCATATTCATCTTGTCTTTTTATTGTGGCCTTTTAATGCAGCAATTTACTCAAATCTGGGTGTTCCTTTCTGGGACACTGCATACATTTGTTCTCTCCACCCAATCACCACACTAAAAGTGCCACAGCATAGGTCCTGCTGGTATTCTGAATGTGCTGCTGAAAAATTCCCTCCAGTCTCCCTGGCTTCTGCACCGGAAACCTTTTATCTATGCTGCACACACGGAGTCGATGTCTTCCTTTCATTCTCTGTGAGCTCACAGTTCAGCTCTTAAGGGTCAATACTCTCCTGAGACTTCCAAACACTACCTTTGCCCATTTAGTAACTTCTGGAAAGTCCTTTTTTTTTTCTAGGAGCCCTTCACAAACACTCAGAAGAAAGGGAAAGTATTGCACATAACTTCCTAGCTTCTTTCTTTGTACTTTTCTCTTGTATAAGTGAAAAATGCTTCACTGCCTGGGTTATCTACATTAAGTTTATTTATTAATTCTAGTTTATTCTTGATACTACCATTTATACTACACTTAAAGTGTGGGTGGCAGGGCACTACCATGAAGTGTGCCTTATAAAAGGACTTGGCATAAGACTAGGTATAATTGCGTGGTTACTATTATTTTAAAACCACTCAGAAACATTACTGAAACATGGACTATAAGAATTCTAATCCATAAAATACCTGTCAATCAATGATATTTCTAGTGATGATTTTCCCACTGTTCTCAAAAAAGTCCTTCTGTTATTATAAAAATAGTCTGATTTGGCTTCACTTTCCTAGTGACTTCTATTCACTTCCTGCTAAAATGGGTCCATCCATGCCTGCTACTGGCGAGGTTCATAAAACAGTGCTAGCTTCCTCTTCCCCCCTCAAGCAAGTGGAATTAAAACTAATGAATTAGTTATGGGAGATGGATTTATTGCTTTTATAATTTATCCACTTTAAAATATGCTTTGAATCCAATGACTAGTTTAGCAATATAATTAAACAATTTTAAAATAAATTCAAGGCAAATACTCTAAGTTGGAAACTAAATAGCAAAAGTATAAGAAAGATATTTCCATGAAAAAAAAATCCCCATTCCAGAAAAGTGAGTTTCAGATATAGTGGGCCTCAGAAGCATCTTAGGTGCTTACTGAAAATGTAAATTTCTAAGGTCCACCCACACACTTTATTCCAGGGATCTGGAATGCGACCTAGGAACTTGTGTTTCTCATAAACCTCCTTGTGGTTCTAATACAATTGGGCTTGGGGACCACACTTTGAAAATCACTAATTTTAAGGAATCCACTCTCCTAAGGGCATAACCCAAATAAGTACTAGGTTTCATAGGACATTATTTTGAAACAACGGGAAAGTTTAAGATTAATTCCACATATGCTCTGATCAAGAAAAAAAAGTTAAATGGCTCATAAAGCTTGAAATTAATGACAGAGGCAGATTAAAGCTCAAATCTATATCCTCATGAAGAAGAATATGGCAGGAGAAGATCAACTGGAAGGATATGATTATGTAAGGAATGGGCTTAAAGCCTGCGTCTGCTCAGATGAAGGCCCTGGTTAGTAACAGGAAATGGAACAGCTTGAATGCATTAAAATGATACTCCTATATGCTGATATAGGATTTTAAATCACAAATTTATGATAAATAGAAAACTGTAAAACTGAAGAGTTCATCCTTGTGAAAAAAATTAAAATTTTTGTTTCTATGCCTGCCAAATCTTAAAATGTCTAAATATACTGCATTTATAGCATAAAATTACTAAATATCATGTACTTTATATCATGAAATTACTATATTATAATTATATCACAAAATCCAGTATATTTAAAAATTTTGAGATGAGGTATGAACAAAAGATGACCAGAATTAGAATTTTTTCATAAGAACTCTCCAATTTCAGAATTTCCTATTTCTCATAAATTTGTAACTTAAAAAGTCTTTACCAGCTTGATTGCCATTCTCCTGAAGATCTCATTCTAGAGACACAGTGTGGACCTACAGCATAGAAAGAATGGAAACATCTTTTTATCACTTATGTTTAGGAGTAGGAGATGATGAGATAATAATTATAATAGTTTGACAAAAACTTCTCTGCCTTGGGTGAATTTGTAAATTTTGCAGAAAGAGGGCATTTTAGTGTATTAAGATAATAAGGAATGTAGATTAAAAAAACACCAGATTCTACTTTTAAAAATTCACTCAGTTTTCTTACTGTTGCAGTTGCAAATACTGCCTGATCTGCACGATGAAAATATCCTTTAGCTCTCATGTCCTGACTGTCCCTTTAGCTTTTTTTTTCCCCTTAGAAAGATATGTAGGAGACAGGATAAATGGAAAGTTGGGGGGGAAACCATTCTAATAGCAAAAGAAAATAAAATCGACTGCTTTACAGCCTTTCTTGTAACAGTATTATGACTTACTGTGAAACACTTAATGTATTTTTCAATGTGCTTTATAATTATAAATCACCCAAATACAAAAACAGCATTTCATTAGTTAGATGAATACGGAGGACTTTAGGCACATAAAAATTTGAGGACACATATTCAGCACATCTGTGTTTAAGAACTCCACAGGAAGAGTCTTAGAATACAGTCATTATCTTAAGCTTTTTTATTATGACTCCCTGGAGCAAAAAGTGTTTTCACCTACTTATCCTAACTGCAGCTATCCCTGGTTTCAACCTTCACTTATTTCTATCAAACTATTCATTATCAAGTTCTGGTTAGTGAATACATAAAATTTCTCAAAAATGTGGTAAAGGTGTTGTACAAAAAATCAGCAGACTAATATCTAGAAGTATAGTAACTTTTTTCTTCTTTTGTAATATTATCTAGCATTAAACAATTTCAAATTGCTCACTAACAATTACTTCTTATTAATAGTTGGCATACTTTAACATTTCAGTACATTCAGAGGCACTAGAAACATCTCTTACTGGAAAGCTGTTGATGCTCTTATTAATAAACTGGTTTTAAATTTATTCAACTAAAATTAGTTCAGGAAAATTAATCTAGACTTTATTGATAAAATGAATTGTTTTTAAACATTAGTTATCTAAAATTATAAACCCATGTTTATGGTAAAAGTGAAAGGCTTAAAAGTAAAAATTTAAAAACTCTTTTTCAACCCCCGACACTGCAATGCTATTTCTAGAGCTAAATATTTACTGTTAATATTATTTTGTGCACTTCCATAATTTTTCCACAAAACTACTAGGTAGGCCAAAAAGTCTGTTCCATAAAAGAAAAGACACATTTTTCATTTTCACCAGTAACTTTATTGATTTGGATATTTTGGTATGCCAGCTATCTCCCACTACTGGCTTCTAGTGGGTAGAGACCAGGAGTGCTGCTGAACATCTTCCAGTGCTTAAGACAGTCCCACAGCAAAGAATTATTTGGCCAAAATGTCAACAGTACCAAGAAACTTTGCAAACCACTTTGGACACATTCAATCAGTCACGGTATCTTCTCCATATACTGCACAAATCTTTTTCTCTTTCTTTTTTTTTTTTTTTAGCATTTCAGGTGTGTTTTTACCTTCCTTGAAATAATAAAGCATAATATACCAAAAATGTTGCATATTTTCTTCCATTTTCCATATTAAAATGGATGCACAAAAATTCACCAATTTTGGTAAGTTTTTTTGAAATGCATGCTTATATGAGAGCTGTCACAATACAATCTAACAAAATTTTTTCAAATGAAGTTGAAGACAACTAAGTATCATTACAGCCATCATATGGAAAAAACTAAATGAACTTTTTTGGCCAACACACACACACACACACACACACACACACACACGCATAATTTTTAAAAAACAAGTATGATTTGTCTCACCACTGTTTCACTTATGAAAACTAAGACATATTTATTCTACTTCCATTTAATAGCTGCTTAGTATTTCAAGGTATGGTTATCCCATGAGTGATTTAATAATTTCTTCATAAATGGATAGTTAGGTTGCTTCTAGTTTTCAATTACAAATGGTAATTACAATGAACTTTCATACATACACATTTACTTAAAGATATGCAGAATAAATTTAAGTAAAATTAGGGGTTAAACGGTAAGTACATTTTAAATTTTAATAAATACCAACACAAAGTATCTTCTTTTTAAGGGCTATACCAATTTATGTTTTTATCAATTGTGTACCTAATTGCCAGTGCAGGGTATTATTAAACTTTTTAAATCTTTCCTACTCTGAATAGGTGAAATATGCCTCATTTTAATTTGTATTCAACTGTTAGGAAGATTCAGCACCTAATACTGATTAGCTACTTGTATTTCAATGTGAATTGCTCATGAAATTGTTTTTTCTAGGAGGTAACATGCATTTCTTAACTTGCCTTTAGGGACCAAAAAAAGAGGCAGTCACCAAACAGTAAACTCTAGTCTGATTTGTTATTCCATTTCTAAACTATTAAATGACTGTTACTTTTAGCTTGTCTTTCATACTTTTGTGGCAGTTGGGCTTAATATAACATTAATAATTAAGTCTGGAACTTTTAAGTGATTAATTACCATTTGGAGCATTGCTTGATTAAATCACACTTCACATCTGTGTACAGGCAAAGGAATAGGTCAAAAGTCATTTCATTCCTGAGTTGTGATCATTAAAAATGGGGTCTGAGCTAGAGTAACCTGACAGAGATAAAATTTGAGATCTTGTTCTGTTTTCCAAAACACTATATTTATACCAGACAACCCCACTCTCTGGAAATCCTCACATTTTCACATATAATAATCCAAAAGAACTTACTTCGAATCTGTTTTTTAATTTCCTTAGCAGGGTCCAACCAATTCTGAAAAGGAAACGATAGCTTGGATTTGAATCAGAGAAGAATAAAAAAGAGTTAAGGCTGACCAGGTGGAGACACACACTGAACATGTTTGAGCATGAGCAGTTGCTGGAAGGCCCTCCAGGCAAGCTAGCAGGGGAACACGAGTGAATTAAAAAATAAAAACAAAAACAATAAAAGGTAGACTCTAAGTTCAAACAAGTTACTAGAATAAACTAAAGGTACATGTAATTGGACACAGTGATGTCCTAGCCATTCAGTCCTACACAATGACTTCTGTGATTACAAATTCTCAGGAAGCTACATAGAAAACATTCCTGCTAAATGAATGCTTGCTTGAGATTTATGACTTTCCTCATCAGAACACTCAGATGTTTAATAATGAAGTTAGACATTGTCCAGCAAACTCAGTAGATATTGAATATAATTCACTGCACAATGCCAAAACATGTAACATCTATGAACAAAATTTCTGTGACTCAGTTTCCAGCACCAATATATTGGAAACAATTTCTTCTTATTTTCAAGTATTTGTGGGGATTAATGAGGTATAGTTCTGAAAAGACTGCATTATTCTGGTTTAAGAGTCTCGAGTCTACAAAGATATTACATTAAACAATAAATACCTACTAACTACACAAGACAACTGTCAGATCAGCCAACAACTCATTTCACATTTTGATTTGGTAAGAACATGAAAGCATGATAAGATGAATTAAGAATAGGACAGCAGCCTTGAACATGTTTTCTATGTAAGTATCAATGTATTTCATTTTCATTGGCTCATGGCCATTGAAATATATCATCGCAAAAAAGCACCATATAAATGCTTTCCTGAAACCATATACAACTGAAGTGTGAAAAAGGGAAACACCGACTTACTGTTTCCACAGTATTCAAGATTAAAATAAGTTGTTAATAATTTCCTTTATGAAGAAAAAAGGTGATTAACAACATTTAGGGACTCAAAGTAGTCAATTTGGGAGAATCAGGGAAGGTGGAGAAAAGATTTACCAATCCAATTCGAGTTCACTTCCTGGCAGTAACGAGCAGCTCAAGCCCTAATGTTTGGAACTGCTTTTAATTACTTACCTTCTGGTTTTCAGCATCTCGGTATGTAAGCCCAAAGTAGTCTTTTTCTAGCAAGTTCAGATGTTCACACACTTTATCAAACAGCACTTGGCCTCTGGAGCGTTTCTATGGAAAACAAAACATTAAAAGAAGTCAACAACACACTCAACAAAGTTCTCTCTATTGTCGCTAATAAAAATAGGTAAAATTTAAAATACCACTTGCTATAACTATAGAGTAGCTGACAATCAAGTGTGATCACACTTTGCCATCTCCTTTTTAACTGATAAAAAGGCTCAACAAAGTGGACTTACACCTACAAAAGCCTGCCCCTACAAACAAGTAAACAATCCCTAGCGTCACTGAGTAAGTAACCTGTGGATGACTGCAAATAGAAGTAGCTAGGAAATGATGTGGTGCTTGGAAGCCTCAAATATCTTGTGAAATATAAAAATTCTAACAGTAAAAGAAAGTACTAAAGGACCAAATAAAACCATGTTACAACATGCCCGAATTCAATTCCCCCTCTGATCAGATTCTGAGCCTGAGATCTAACCCTATTCCTTGTCTTAGACCTCCCCTTAAAACTTTCTCTACTAATCTTTACTTAGAAATTCTAGCTATGAATCATCTTCTAAAAGCCCATTAAACTAACTTCATTAGTTTATTTTTAGTTTTTGTCACTAACTTCAGTTTTGTATTACAGTATTCAATTTTCTTTTCATTTCTTTTAGATAAAATCCTTCCTTTAAAAATAAAATGTTAAGTTTAGAGATTTTAGTTATCGTTTTTAAATATAAGATATAAATATATGTGCTATATTTTTGGCCATTAAACAGCCATTTAGAGGAAGGAAAAAGGCAGTCATCTGGTGGGGGGAATCCATCAGTTTAATTTACTGTAATACATAGTTATCAGATTTTTATCTAATCCTTCAAAGGTCTTTCAACATGACCTTGGATTCTAAAATGGATTAACTGGCAACAATTAAACTATTTTTTTGTGTGTGCAGTACCAACATTTCACATCTAATACATTAAGCATATCTAAGATTTAATGCATTAACAAGGCAGATATGAAAATTGATATACAACGTACATGCCAAAATAAGTATTCAGAAGACCTGTGTTGTGTATTACTATGTAACCATTATTATATTGGAAATTAGTTACTCAGTCCCTTAAAGCATGACCATTTAGGGAAAAGGATAAATATATGAGAGAAAAATAAGGCTTGAATTGTAGCTAGCTATATAATCTATGATGTGTTTGAAAAATATTTAATAATGTATGAAAATAAATTACATGCTAGCAAAGCTACCTAATAACATTGCTCAATGGATAGAAATAAGTGGTATGACAACAAAATGCTGCTCACTGGTTTAAATCTTCATAGATAATAACGTATCATTTCTGAATAATGCTCAACAATTTATAAAGTTTTCGCAAAAATTGGTTCTTCTGATGCTTCTATTGGTCTTCTGTTACCAGGTAAGAACACAGGTTCAGAGAAGTGAGCTGAGAGGGGCAGTGTCTTGTAACGGCCATGAGCTTGAACAGGTAACTCTGGGTCTGAATGTTCCTTATGTCCCTTGCAGCTATGTGAACCTGTTTTTCCTTCTGTAAAATGTGCATGATTCTACTTACTTCTTTGGAATGACTGACGTGAAAATAAAACAGAGTACTCAAATTCGGTCCAGTTGATGGCACATTTCAAGCATTCCACAAACGTCAACTGACAAATGGCAGGACAGGTAATGTAGACCTTAGGCATTTTTGCTGTCAGAGCACACATACAACTTCTTGTGGTGTCAATAAGCTTTTCCTTTAGACATCAATTACCTGCTCACTACTTAATTTGCTTTAGCTAGACTACATATTTGCACACACACCCCACACAAATATACATCAGTGTTCAGCCAAGTACTAATACTTTCTCAGTGAGTAAAAACAAACAAAATACAAGTAAGTAAACATTTCTCCTGTATCCTCAGACCCAGCAGACTACAGCCAGTCCCTCAATAGAGGAATTTTTTCTGAACATGTCACTGGCTGCCTTGAGCATGGTTTTAATTAGCTGTCTTCTGGCTGCTGTGTTTTTCCTTTTGTCTAACAGGTGGACATGATTTAGGTCAAGCACAGACCACTATACTAAGTGACTCTTAGTTTCTGGTTCCTTGTAATTTGATTTCTATTAATGACTCATAGCTATCTCTTGATTAGAAAAATTTTTTTTCTTACTAAATATTTTAAACACTATAAACAGTTCTTAAGATCATCCTTTGGTCTTGGTCCATTCTTCACAGTTGAGAGGCTTGTTTGGGTTTTTGTTTTGTTTTGTTTTGTTTTGTTTTTGGCCCTAAGAACCAAAATCAGTTGTCTAGAATCTATGTAAACAATGTAATTCCTACCTGCTAAATATCATCATCACAACCAGCAGCTAGCTGGATGACATTAGAAAAGGCTTTTAAGAATTTTGGCCTTTGTTTTCTCATCCCTGAGTGAGGATGTAAGATGCTATGGAGCAAGGTAATCATTGGCTTGAGACTATAAATGGACCCCCTTTGCTCATGGCAAACATTGCTAACGATTATAGCACTCTTTGCCATGGAGTTCAGATGCAGCCAATGACCGGAGGACAGGGACTTGGGAATATTTTCTAGCCCTGGATCCTCTCTGGATTAAAAAATTAATACTCCCCAAAATTCTTGACTCTGTTGACTCAGATGATTTTTTTTCTAGCACATTATTTGACTTATTTCTACTTGCTGATATATGTGTATATCTGTAGGTGATAACATATAACTAAAGCTCAACAATCAGATTGGAACTTTCAGAGAATTTATGTTAAATATCTGGTTCCAAAAAAACATGACGTTCATTAAGTGATAAAATCTAAGAACCTTACTGCCATTTGGTGTGTTTATATATAGTCATAATGAGTAAAAACTTGAGATTAAAAAAGTTGATACTAAATCATTGAAGAATTTAGCTGACCAGAGAAGACTATGAGCTTTTAGGCTTATTTGCTATTTCTTATGAGTTGTTAAGTCGTGCCTCTGACTCAAAGGCATTCGCAGTTCGTGTGACTATATTCACTATTAACACTCAAACCTGAAAGGTTGCTTTTGCTTTTCTAGGATAGCAAAACAATGCTGGGCTGCCATCTTTGTGTCCTCTTTATTCCACTGAAAAAAATTGCATTTCTGTTTCTGATAGAGTAAATGGGGATATTGCAGGCCAGCAACCTGAAAGACCTTATATAGCCTAAGAATGGTAAAGTCTTAAGCAATTAGAACAACTCTCATTTTAACTATTTTAATTTCCTCTTTATTTTTATTAAAAACTTTTCCAAATTGACTTATGAAATTGTTGGATGTTAAAAGAAGTGTGTCAAAGAGAAAAACTTTTAAGACAATAAAAAGACAAAAAACAGACTAGAAGAAAATATTTTCAAACACATGTCTGATGAAGGACTGGTATCCAAAATATACAAAGAACTCTTAAAATTCAACAGTAAGAAAATAGCCAAATTAAAAAATGGGCTAAAGATCTGAATAGATACCTCATCAAAGAAGATGTAAAACAAGCATGTGAAAAGATGTTCAACATCATATGTTATTAGAAAAATCACAAATTTAAACAAGATACAATTACACTCTATTGGAATGGCTAAAATTCAAAATACAGAAAACACTGAATACTGACAAAGATGTGGAGCAACAGTAATTCATACTCTTTGTTGGTGGAAGTGAAAAATGGTGCAGCAACTTTGGAAGACAGTCTAGTAGCTTCTTAGAAAAGAAAATGACCTCTGACTATATGGTGTAGCAATCATGTCCCTTGGTATTTACACAAGGGAACTGAAAACTTACGTACACAAAAAACCCTGCACACAAATATTTATAGCAGCTTTATTCAATATTGCCAAAACATGGAAGCAATTAAGATGCCTTTCATTAGGTAAATAGATAGATAAACTGTGTTACAATCTGGACAATGTAACATTACCCAGCACTAAAATGAAATGAGCTATCCAGCCATGAAAAGACACGGAGGAACCTCAAATGCATATTACTCAGTGGAAGAAGCAATATGAAAAGGCTACAAACTGCATTATTTCAACTATATGATATTCTGGAAAAGGCAAAACTATGAAGACAATAAAAAGGTCAGTGGTTGCCAGGATTAGGTTTGTGTGGGGGGATGACTAGGTGAGGCACAGAGAACTTTAAGGGCAGTAAAATTACTTAGCATGATACTATAATGGTAGATACACATCATTTATACACATGCCAAAACCCACACAGAAGGTACCACACAAAGGTTTATTCACATAGGAGGTACCTCACGTAAACTATGGACTTTCACTAATAATATGCGTCAAAATTGGTCCATCAATTACAACAAATGTAGCACACTAAAGTGAAGTGTTAAAAATAAGGAAAGAGGGAGAGTGAAAGGGATTACATGAGAACTTTCTGTACTTTCTGCTCAATTTTTCTAAAACCTAAAACTGCTCAAAAAGTTTATTAATGACTTATTTTAAATTTCTTATAAATTAATTAAATACTTTAAAAGGTTAATAAAGGTAAACTCCAAATGACTTTAAATTTTTATTAAGTAAAATAAGGCAGTCAGAGGAAGACAAATACCATATGCTCTTCACTTATATGTGGAATGTAATGAACAAAATAAACTGATGAACAAAATAGAAATAAAGGCAGAGATGCACTGAACAGACTGACAGCTGTCAGAGGGGGGAGAGGAAGGAGAGAATGAATGAAAGAAGGGGTCAGGATTAATCAAAGAACATATATGCATAACCCATGGACACGGGCAACAGTGTGGTGATGGCCAGAGGGAAGGGGGGTGGGGGCTGGGTGGAGGTGGGCACGGGGAGGAAATGGGAACATCTATAACAGTGTCAATAATAAAAAATAAAGAAATTTTATTGAGTAAACATTTCAGAAAATTAAAAAGCATTAGTCACAACACATACAAAACTCAAGGCTAGACTGCCATCCTCCTCCAACCCAGGTACACAGACACACCCGGGAACTCAAGTCTAAAATGCCTGCCAGCCAAGCCAAGATGATCTAGTAATGAACATAACCAGCGCAACAG